TTAAGCAAATGGAAGTGTTTTAGACCAACTGGTATTGGGTAAGATGTCTGTTACAGCTGACAGTCCCCACAGCCTGGAGCTAGAGGGGACTGTAGAGGGCAGAGGGGCACGTGGAAACCAGAGAGGCCCAAGAGGGTTTTCTTGTGTGACCTTCAGGACAGAACCCAGTCGAAAATGAGGACTGAAGGGTGTTGGACTCGTGCCCACTCCCTCAGGCCGTGAGGGGGCTTGGTGCCCTTTCCAGATGATGCTTCTGTCTAGTCAGGAGAGGCAAGTTGCTCGCTAGATCCTTCCTCACCCTTGAGAATCCAGATGGGTTCCTTTTGAGTCTAGAGATACACATCTGGCTTTAGTTGGAAACATGTCTGCCTCCCCTATTTTTTCTGGAAAGTGGGCTTGTTCTGGGGAAGCTGGGATGTATCAAGGAGAAAGTAGACAGGCAGGGTCTCTGTCGGCAGAGACAGTCTTGTCCAAGGAGAGCACTTGTTCAGTGCTCACCCCAGGTCAGGCAACCCAGCAAACCTGGGATGTTCTCAGGAGAGGTAATTTGCTCAAGGAACCCAGAGGCCTTCTGAGAAGGAAGGAGCCAAGACCCCAACGCTTGCAATACTGTCGTGGGACAGGGGCTGAGAAGTAAGGCCTAAGAGCAGGGCAGGGAAACAAGAGAGTCTTTGGCCTTTGCCCTTCAGTCCTTGCTCTTGAAGCTTCCTTCCTCATGCTTTTCGCTATGGTCATTGGATTCATAAGACCTGCAAGTTTCAAGCCTGCAAACTGCAAAATGCCACATTAACACTTTGTGCTTATTTCTTTTAATCCTCCAAAATAACATCATGAGGAACATTTTGGTATCATTTTATAATAGAAAGTGATGCTCACAGCAATCAAGATTCTTGCTTGTCACTCAGCAGTCATGTGACACTAACAGGCATGAGGGCACCGAAGGGGCAGAGGTGCTGGCTCTGTCCTGTTTACTGCACTTTTGTGTTCTTCTTGCTCACCATATCACTTGTTAGCTTCCTGAACCATCTAGTGGGAAATCATGGCTCATTTACAAGTAGTTCATACAGGGACCAAGTAGGGACAGGGACCAAGTAGATCATCCATAGCATGGCAGTATGGCTTCATGGTTCCACATGCAGACCTGGCCTCAGACTACCTGGTTCCATCACTTACTGTGTGACTCTGAGCATTCTGTCACATGTGTGGGTGTGTGTGCACATGCATGAGTGTGGTACATGTTGCTGAGAACGGAACCCAAAGCCTCAAGCATGCTAGACAAGCAGTCTGCATCTGAGCTACACTACTAATCCTGATAGGAACTCTGGGAGTCTGCCTCCTGCCCATATATGTCACAGCTGTGCTTCAACAAAGTTAAAACCACAATAGAAATCCTGTTTAGAGCCAGTTGGTTGCCACTGTGGGACCTGGAGTGGTGAGGACAGAGAACCCTGGCATCCCCTCCCAACTTCAGCCTTTGGGAGAGCTGTCAATTCTTGAACCAAAAGAAGTGACCCACAAAGGAGCACTTTAATCACCATGGAGGTCAAATTATCCCAACAAAAGTCCCAGTTGGCCTATGGAATTTTGCCTTATCAGGTAATGAAATTGTGTTTAGTAGCAAGAATGAGTTCGTTACGGATGCAGCTTGTGCTAATGATGATAATTTGCTGAGCAGTAAAATCACCTCTTTACACTTCCTCCAACCGACAGACGAAGCTCTAGAAATTACAGGCTATGGAGAAACAGAAAGGATAAAGATTAAGGAGAAGAATTATAATGCAGAACTGCTTAAACAAAAGGAAGTACAGATTTGCACATTGAACTTGGCGATCTCAAATCTTGAACTTGCAGAAGAATTAGATACTGTAAGTTTTTAATTGCCTTTATTCGATTGTTACCTGTGTGACTTGATTGTTGTTCTTTGGATTTTGGCTTTCCAGCTCAAGCCGTTTTTTAAAAGTTGGCTCAAAATGAATTAGTCAGGGGCTTAAACATTGATCTCTGATGTAATCCTGGGGAGGAGGGCAGGATGAAGGCTGTTAGGGGTCATATCAGTCCTGGGTTCCCCTTAATATCATTGCAACGACCACCAAGAACCTTAAGCTCTAAGCAGACATCTTCAAACTGAGTTTGGAAGGGGAACCAGCAGACATGCCTCCTGTTGTTCATCTCTGAGGAGCCAGCGGAAATGCAGTGGGCTAGGCCCCGCAGGTGACAGATCTGATCAATTTCCTGGTTTCCTCTCTGGGAAATGGGGTCACTCTTTCAGGGTTTAAGAAACCTGTTCATTAACCTTTGTCCCTGCCTCTTGAAGAGAGAGTGTGTTGCTTTCACACATGCACTCAATCTCCAAAGATTAAAATGTCTTTTAGCCAATTCAAGTAAGGAGTTTTCACTTGATTTTCTTACCTGATTATGAAAGCAATAGCTATTGGCTATTGGAAGCCAGAAAAAGCACAAAGATGATAAAGAAATCCAGTAGTTCCACCATCCAAATGACCACTGTTTTAGCATTAGTTGGCTCTTCCCTTATTAAAGAAAAATATATGATTGTGTGTGTAAGTACACATATAAGTTTATGTTTGCTGCTATTGCACATTTTATGGCCTGTACTTTTCATGTACCGTTTCCTAAATATTTTTACACAGTACCCTTCCATCACATCATCTTCTAAAGAAGATTCTGCACTATAATTCCGAGCCCACACAATCCTCCCTCACAGTGTCCTTGGTTGCTTCTCTTTTCAAGGATCCTTAATCATTTCTGGGACCCTCTGTCTAGTGAACTCAGTGGTCCTTTTCTCAGAATAATGTTCTCCAATGTCTACAATTAATAGACATTAATTGTAATATTAATCTGTAATATTATCAAAATATTAAAAAGAACATATTTGTGAAATAGCCACATACATGTTACTTCATTCTTCTATTGAATAACGCTGTGTTGGAAAGTCGATTGAATAGCCCTAAGAACCACTGTAATGTAGAGACCTGCATTAGCATTGTTCCCAGCTGACTGCAACAAACATCCTACGATATGAAACAGATCTGTGATTTCTATGGGACTGAGGTGCTAGGTACTGCTGCATCTGTCAGCTACCTTCATAAGTGAAGGAAATGCTAGATTCCACTCGGAGGGCTGCGAAAACGAAGATAGGGCCTTCTTTCAGCAAGGGTCTTTATCCTTCTGACCACTCTCCATGGACCCTCAGGGGATACTGGGAACCCAGACCAAACTTCCTGCCTTGGGAAGAACTCCCAGCAGAAACTTGCTGAGCCTTTGGCTCTGTGCATTTTTGAGCTGTTTGATGCCAATGTCCTCAGTGCCCACTGGAATGCTGCAGATGCTGAAAGAGGTCAGAGCGTGACCCTACTGGGGGTAAGAGGCAGTGAGCCAGGGTCACGAGTTGAACTGTGTCGCTTAAGCAAGGTAGGTTGAAGTCACACTTGCTAGCACCTCGGAATGTGACTTGGAAATAGGGTTATCGCAGGTATGATTGGATTGGGGCGGACACCTAACCTGATGCAACAATGTCTTTGTAAGAGGACGGCTATGTGAAGACACAGAGGCACACAGGGAATGCTATGTGATGATGGAAGAGACTAGTCACGTGACAGTCACAATACTAACAGTGCTGCCACCACCATAACCTAGCAAGAAGGAAGCCCCCCCCCCCATAGGTTTCAGAGGGAGGAAAGCCCTACTAATACCTTGGTTTGGGACCTCTCTCCTCTAGAATCATGACACGTGACATTTCTTTTGGGTTTTTTTTGGCAGTACTGGGGTTTGAATTCAGTTCAAACTGCCTGGCAGGCATTCTTCCATTTGAGCCACTCTGCCAGCTCCACAAGACATTTCTGTTGCGTGAAGCCACCCTACTTGTGGTACTTTGTTAGGGCACACAGTTGCCTTGACAGTTAGGAAGAGGAGGTCCCATTCTGGCACCCCACAAAAACCATTAGCAGGCTGAGAAATATCCTCTTTATTCTTACAGAAACAAAATTCATTGTCACTAGTGGCATTCTTTTGCCTACCACTCAGGGTGCAGGCAGCAGTTGAAGAATTCTTGTTAAATTTCCTTCTTGCCCTCTGGGGGTGGATGAGGCACTGATTCTGCTAGGAGCCCGCTGAGGTCCCCCTCTCCCCAGAGGCTGTGCACCCCTAGTCCTCTGCATACATGGTTGAGGACAGTGGCTCGAGATGCTCCTTCCTGTTGCAAGACTTATTTGGCCACTGAGGACAGCCACATGTCCCTGGAGCTCTGAGATCCTCACTCAGAGGTCCTCCAATGGCAGAGCAGCTTCTATCTGAAGAGGAAACCTCCAGGTGAGCTGCAGACATTTCCTCTCCTTCTACAAAGCAACAGGAAGAAGGAGCCCTCCCTGACTTACCTGGAACAGAGAAATCTGGGCCGGTGGGCAGCAGCTCTTCCTGCTGCAAAGCTTTTGGAGAAGGAGCAGGAGGCTGTGCAGCGCTAACCCCATAAATTCTAAAGTAAGAACCAAGTCGTAGAGTTACTCCTTTTAATAATACAAATAAGAATAAATGTGACATATGCAGGTCCTGAACAGCCAGTATGTTTATTTTAATCCTTAACAGTTTGTCCTAAGGTTAGGATTATCATCTTTATTTTAAAGAAGATAAAACAGGTCACAGGAGCCACCCCCTGCCATGCCCTAGTGTCCCCTGCCATTCTTCCCCCTCAGCATCTAGAGTCTTAGGCTGCTACCAGGAGAATGTCCCTGTTGGTTTTTACTTCCAATCTCTCCTTGCAAATCAGCAAAGACCACCAGATAGGTGGGCAAGCTGAGCACAGGTTGGCAGCAAAGCAGGGCTGCCTGCTTGGACGCTCCTGCAGTGACGAAGCACCTTCTACACAAATCAGACCGTAGATGATCCTGGTGCTGGGATGGGGGGACCTGATAGCCAGCTGCCCCCACCCCACCAGCTGTGCTCCACTCCCTGGATCTTGTTACCTGTGGATCTGACCCAAGCCACACTTACTCCTCATATGGCTTCAGATGTGCCCTCTTGGCCTGCTCCACGATGTTCAGGAAATCCTTGTAGCAGTTTTTGGCCATGACACTATACCTTGTGGCACAGCCCAATTCAGTGACCCTGGCTCTGGGCAGGTAGCCCGCCCAGCCAGGGATCGGGGGCTCCTGCAGAGGTTTCTTCACATACTTGCATTCTGCAAAGAGACACCAGACTTAACTAAAGGCTGTGGAAAGCCACACAGTGAGCAGGCCTGGCAAGCTCACTAGCACCCTCACTGTTCACCTGGGGAACCCTTAAGTAGGCATATGTAATAAGGACAGCACTGTGCTTGGTTGATAACTGTGTGCCAGGCTTCTCAAATAGCATCTCATTTAATTCTCTCACCAACCATTGAGGCTGGTAGCACCATTACCTCCAGTGCCTGGAGGAGGCTGAGACTTGCTGGTGCAACGCAGTAGGAAGTGTAGGGCCAGGAAGTATCCAGGTTAGGAGAAAACACCCAGACTCAACACCTGGAGCCTGCTTTCAGGTTGTTACCATGACTGGTGGGCTGGGTGATCCTGGGTAAGTCTCACTGTCCCCACAGTCCCCTCCAGGTGCTATATGAATTGAATGAGTCCTGGACTTCAGAGCTGGAGGGCTAGGGAGCATCTAGTACATCCTTCTTCACCCTTAGTGAAGAAACTGGAGACCAGAGAAGGGAAGCAAGTAGCCTTAGATCACACAGCAAGTAGTCATAGAGTTGAGCTAAGTCCTGATCTTGACGGATAACTCCATAATGTTTGGGAAATTTTAAAGCACAAAACAACATGTAAATTATCATGTGTTCTTAAAAAGGTCTCCAAAGAATTATAGTAATAACAATAAAGGAAATCAATCCACTGCTTTTCTTGTAGGCCTTTGTATCTTAAAATAATATTGGTCAAATCAGTCAGAATTCAGTACCCTCTCCCCTACCACCTCCCTGCTGTGACCTTGGCCAAGTGACAGCTCTCTAGAAACCGCACTTCCTCCCCCTCTAAGATGGGCACAGCAGTCTTGACCTCATAGGTTAGGGAATTGCACATGGTTAGGGAATAACGGTGCCTGCACAGACAAAGTCACTGAAGAATGGCACCATAGAACTAGAAACTGTTGTTTAAACTGCCTTGTGACTTGTCTAGGGGCTCCTTAGTGCTCATTCCAGCTCCCTCACCCCTTGCCTGTCCAGGACCCTAAAATGTGTCCTTCTCCTGTGAAGAGACTCAGCCTTTGGTTTCCCACTCAGCTCTGGGGGTTCCAAGCTATACTGGACTCTGATCTCTCTGTGGCTGCTCTGCTGGGCAACTGGAGTCTGCTCCTGAGGTCCCCAAGCTGTCTTGGGGGCACAGCCGTACCCAGAGTCATAGGGTGATAGAGCCGGGCGTACTCATGCAGCGCCCGCAGGACAGTCTCCTCGGAGCAGATGGGCTTCAGTTTTGGGGCAGTGGCCACTGCACAACGAAATTCCTCCAGTTGGTCTTTGTAGTGCTGCGTGTTCTCCTGGAAGGTTTTCAGACAGAGGTTCATGTTGTCCTCGCTGGGGCCTCCCTGGCAGCTGAGGTAGGGCACGAAGCCTGCAAGAACCCCCAGCAAGGCAGCTTCAGCAAGCCTCAGCCACCACCACAGCCCACCATGTAGCTCAACTGGGCCAACAATGCTGCATTTTTCCAAAGGCCACTAATGCAAGCTGTACTGTTGTTCTCACGTGGCTGGGCCCTCCCAAGGTGGCAAAAAAATGACCTTGGAGCTAGGAAGGGAAGGCCCACTTCGACAAAGGCGATGACAGTCATATTCTTTGATAGCAAAGCCCACAATGTCAGCCCTAACAGCAAATGGGGAAAGCATTTAATGGGTCAAAATGATAGTCTGAGGAGTAATTGAAATTATTCATCTTTTTAGAGAGGAAGCTTATTTTCCTTGACACTTCCCAAATGCAATTTGGGATCTTTCTTGCTGGACCATAGAGAAATTGCAGGCTTATTAAAAGCAGAGACCTATTACACAAAAAGGTAAATTCATTATCTGCCAAGGCCCACCCCAGGGCAATTTTTCACCATTTCCCACAAAATAACATGTAATCATTACAATTAGTATGGGTAAAACACAACTATTTATTTAAACTGGATGCTGAATCCTAAGTACTATAATATTGTCACAATAAGACCATTTTTAAAAAGAACAAATGAGGAAAACTGGTTAAAATCTTGGTTTTAAACCACAAAGTAAATAAATAAAATCTGTCAGTTTTGAAGTACAGCATTTTTGCCTTTTTCCCTCAGGAAAGAAAACCTGATTTCCAGGTTCAAAGCAACCCCCAGCTCTTCCAGAAGCCACTTCTGGAAGAGTCTGATTAATGGCTGACTCTGACAGTGTTGAAATCCTCCCCCACCACCCAGTTTCCCTAACTCTCAGGCAATCAAAATATGTCCTAATATCACAGAGGACACCACAGAAACCCAAGGGCCTTTCTGTGGTGGCATCGCTGCTACCAGGGCCTTTGTATGCACACACAGCATTTGTATGCACACACAGTACTCACCACTCACAGTAACACAATCTTCCTTTACTGAGTCTTGCTGAGGACCAAGACAGTCAAAGAATGTATGTACACTGGCTCCTTTAGTCATCACAACAATCGTATGGTATCCCGTATGATGGGTGCATTGTAATCCCCAGAGAGATATATATCCAAGTCTTAACCCTGCAGGCCTGTGAATATGATCTCCCATGGAAAAAAGTCATTTCAGATATAATTAAAGATCTGGAAGTGAACTCATCCCAGATTCAGGCCTTAAATCCAATGGCTGGTATCATGAGAGAGAGATGAAGGAGACACATGGGGAAATCAAAGTGATGAGTCATATGAAGATGGAGGAAGAGCCTGAAGTGATGCTGCCACAAGCCAGGAAAACCTGGAGCCACCCAAAGCTGGAAAGGACAAGGAAGAACACTCCCTAGAGACTTGCAGAGAGCATGGCCCTGCCAACACCTGATTTCAGACTTGTAGCCTTCAGAATTGGGACTAAGTTTCTATTTTTTAAACCAAGTTTATGGTAATTTGTGACAGTAGCCCTAGGAAATGAACACATCCATTTTATAGAATTTTTTAGTTACCATAGAGTTAAGTAACTTACAGTCATGCAGACAGTGGCCAAGTAGAGAGTCCTATTGGAGTTTGTCAGGACCCACAGCCTGTTCTCTTACCCAGCCAGTAGAACCAGGGCGAGGCTGTGCAACTTTGGAATGTTACCCATCACACCTCCTGACTGTGTGAGAGCCAAGGGCCCATAGGGACCACTGGATTGGTCACCCGGGGATATGACATAGCAAGTTCTCAGTAGCCCAGAAGCCTGAGAAGGAAGGGGGATCAACTATCCTAGTTTGCCAAGGAGTGGGAGTTTCCTGGTCATAAGACTTTTAGTGCTACAACCAGGATGGTTCCAAGAAAACCAAGAGTGGCAGTTAAGAAAGAAATGGGAACATAAGAAGAGGGAAACCTGAGAAAGACCAATATGGGAAGGATACTTCTCATGTGCATCGTGTCTCCTCCTGGTCCAAACTCATTCATCAAGCATTAAGTGCTTCCTCGTGCCACATCATGTCCTAAGCAGTCCTTTCTCTCCATTTATCACAGCTCAGCTATCACCCATGGGTGCTCTCAATGAATGTCATAAGAGCTGGAGAAGCTACACCGGCCCAGTTGGCAGGACAGACACGGACAGTCCAATGCAAGGTCAGAGACCTAAGAGCTAACACTTACCACCATAGCCTGGTGCAACCGGCAGCTTTCTCATGAAGGTCTTGGAAGACGCCATGATTGCTCTCTGTGTTCACGAAGCAAAGACAGAAGGAAACGTTCTCATCGAAAGTCCCTGCTTCAGGAACTTACTGCACATGTGCAAGAGCCCTTGGGAGGAGAAGAAGGATCTTGGTATTGGGACTGGGGCTGAGAGGCAGCACCACCATCTTACCAAAGCTGCAGACAGAGCTGATTTCAGTTACAAGCTAATCACCTGGTACCAAAGGGTCATGTTGTTATCTTAGATAACGGGTATGTAGATCACCACCCATGAGTGTCTCTTTTACCAAGGAGGCCCCAACAAATTCATCCATCCATCCATCCATCCATCCATGCATGCATACATCATGAACTATATGCATACTACAGGCACAAGATGTGTCAGAGTTGGGGAATAAGAAGGTGAACAAGACTCAGGAGCCCCTGTGTAAGGCTCATGTGCCTTGCAGGAGGAAAGATGAGGCATTTAGATCCCCCCAGAGCCCTTTCTTTATTCAAGTGTACCTGGTTGCAGTGGTAATTTTTTGCTACCACCTCCCTTCATCCCCAGAACATATAGCAATGTCTACAGACATTTTGGTTGTCACAAATGGGGTGATGGGTTGGTACTGGTAGCTACTGACTGGGATGCTATTAAACATCCTGCAGTGCATGGGATAGTCCCACAACAAAGACTCAGTATAAGTTTTGATTGGGAGGGATCAGAAAATCCCAAAAGACTGACATGGAGTCCAAGGAGAATGAGTAGAGAGTGGTAGGGTCCACAGCAGCATCAGTTATGTGATGCTATCTCTGGAGCAAGACCCCTCCCCCCATCACCAGTGGTCCCCCAATGGGCCAGGGTCTGTATCTGGATCCTGTAGCTCAAGCCATCCCTAACCTGCCAAACCAGTTCTTCTCTTTAAATCAGTTTGTCTCCTGGTCTCTTAAGGCCAGGAGAAGGGGTTTGGGGTGAAGGAGAGAGCTGAGGTCATGGGTCAGTCAGCAACGATGGGAGAAGCAATGGGAATGAAGCAGTTCCAGTTCAGCCTTGGCAGACTGAGAGTAGGGATAACCACATCCAGTCCATCTAAGCCCTGGCATCCTGTGTCATCCTGGCTGTGAACCTCTATCCAACACACACTAACCAACTGATGACCAAGCTTTCCATGTGGTCACTTATGGAATCCACTCAACAGCCCAATGACATAAATACTGCCCTACTATTACACCCATTTCCAGATTCAGATTAAAGAGTCAACAGACATATACAGAACACGGGCTGTGGTCATGATGAAACAAACTGCATTCTTGTTTAAAATCCCTACAGCATCCTTAAAGGTAAGTACCCATGCAGTTCCCACTTTACAGATGAGGAAAGGTTGAGTAACTTATTTGAGGGTGTTCAGAGAGAAAGGGGGTACCAACAGATGACCTCTCAACTCTCAGGAGCAGGATGTGTTGCCCAAAAGTGTGTGGCTTGGGTGGAACCCAGCACCAAGCCTGGGGGGAGAAGGTGGGCAGGTAGGAGCTTGAAGAGGAACATCCTGAAGGAGGGGGTGGGGGAGGGAGTGAACCCTGCTGCCGCTTCCTTCCCACCCTACTCCCACTCTCACCTGGGCGTCTGATCCCTGCAGGCACCAGGTAGAGCCTCCTGACTGCTGGGCCTTAGCCCCAGTCTCCTAGGCCTCCTGGCCTCACCTACCTTTGTGAGGTCACCTGGTTGGGGCGGGGTCTATGCAGGACAGTCAGAGCCAGCCCCGCCCCCTCTTCTCCTGGAACCTACTAGAACCTGAACCAGTGTCTCTGGTTCTCTGCAGACAGGATCAGGGAGGAGAGGGAGCTATCTATCCACTGCTCTGGGTCAAAGTCTACATTTTGCTATGTGGACACTGGGGAACTGGCCCCGCCACTATGGGAGGCTGGTGGACTGGAACAGGCCTCTTCTCAGGTGCCAGGCCTCTCCAAGATGGCTTCCAAATACAGGAGCACCCCTGGGCCTACCAACCCTCCTCCTCCACCTTCTGTCTCCTTTTAGAACAGGCTGGATCTTTTCAGGTGCCCAGCACACTTAATGAAGCAGTGTTCCAAAATGAAGCCCTGCCCTGGGGGAGTTGCCATGTTCTTTTCTAGCCGTACTAATTTTATGAGAAAGATGGGGTCCTGAGCCCTCATCTCACCCAGATGGCACTGTGTGAACCTGATAGAGAGGGAATGGATGGCCTTACGGACAGCTAACCCCTGCTGCTGCCTTTACAGAGAAAGAAATAGGGCCTGCTGTCTGATGGCATTACTGTTCTTTCCAATATATCTCGGATGTTTGTTAGGGTACCTCCTAGCCTTCCCTACGTCCTCTCCCTGGAAACTGAACTTGAGAAGGCAGGTGAAGTCACCTACCATTTATGCCTCTCTTAGACTCCTGGGATCTCACCTCAAGCCATCTGGAAATTTCTAGAATCAATTCAGAAGGTAGAGCCTAGAAGAAATCCAAAGATCTGGACAGCCAGTTTTGTACATCTGCTGGGATGCCAGAGGTTCTCCATCTTTAATGACTTTTACTTGGTTGCAGTAGAGTCACCACCCCTTTTCTGACTAGACCACTTTCTTCCCACTTGGAAGAAAATGGGTCTGTTGGCAGCCATGGAGCCCTGGTTCCCAGCAAAGGAAAGGCTAGTCTTGTTGCAACAACTGTTAATAAAGTTTATACCACCTAGGAGAGGACCTGAAAACCAGTCACCACCTGAGAGTAGAGTAGAGGAGGAGGGGGGTTAGTAATGATCTGTTTATAATTTCACTTACAAACTCAGAATGAAGAATATTCAGAGCCACATGAGATCCAGAGTTTTACTTTATTAGACATGGTGAAGACAAGAGTGCATGTAGATACAATCCTGTCTGGTCATGAACTACTGCAAAGTTCTGTGAAGTTTGGATTTATCTTGTGAACAAGACCCCCCCGAGGCTGGGATTTTAGAATATTGTTCCACATTTCAAGCAGATGAGAGGTGTTAGTGACATTATGGCCAAAAACTTTTATACTAGCCATCCACTTAAGCCATTCCCCAGCATACATATGCAGCTTAATCACAGCGATTACATCTCTACAATGTGAAGTTCGATCTTTGACTAATAATACATTTTGACTCCTGTTTACATTGGTGCATGCGATTCTTTGCTACCCTGGCAATTAACCAGACCTGGACTCTAAAAGCTAAACTTGTTCTAAGTAACATTCTAAGGGTGGGGCGGGCTCTGTAATCTGGATTTAGCCATCATTCTGCAGAAACACTCCTCCCCCTTCCTGTTATGTCTGTAACTGGTCTGTCACTCAGCATTTCTGAATGCTTGCTGTATACAGAAAAGGCAGTTACAAAGGAAGCCAACAATTCTGCTTTCAAGAAAGGTGACTATTGGGTAAGATATGCCAGGGACAATTGAATAATGGGTCAAGACCATAGATTGTCTAGAAACTTTCTAAGATTAGGAAACGTGTCCAAGTGTACTTATCCAGTGCTCTTATTCTAGAATATTTTTTGGGAAGAGGGATGGATTTGAGGGTCTTAAGGAGTTTGACTACTGGGGCTGCATCTCTGGGACCAGAAGAAAGTCCAGTAAAATTATCACTCCCTCTCCATCAGTTCGCCCACACTGCAGATTTCTGTCAGCTCACTTAAGAGAAATAGACAAGGCAAGTATAAGGTGAGAGGACTTTTACATTAGCCAGAAGAGAGGGGCTCAACCATATTGCTCACATATACACTCAGCCCAATAGAAAAGCTTGGTTCCTGCCTTTGACCCTGATGTGCTGAAAATATCACACACACAGTGGACCACGCTTTATGCTCACACGGAAAGGTCAACAACCCTGCAGAATGCAAGGAGTTTGGGGAGGTTTTTCCTGCAATCACATTGCTTACAGAACCAGAATGTTCAGCTCTCCAAGTCTGGACAGGAGAATTGACACATCATGCTCCTTTAAATATAACCTTTGAATCTTTGGGACGGATGAGCATATGGAAGTGTCTGATGAAGCTGTTGAACCTTGTGGTCCATATGTTCAAGAGTATTCTGACCCTAGGCACCTCTGTCTATTGCTCAGTCTTGCATACATAGTCCATTGCCTGTAATGGGCACAAATCTATGATTAGTGATAGCAGCTAAATGAAACTGTGAAAGAGTACCTGCCTAGCAAGCATGAGGCCCTGAGTTCAAACCCCAGTACCACCAAAAACAAACAAACAAACAAAAGAAATGCAATTGGAAGACAGCAGGCAGCAATGTCATCAACAAAAATCAAAGAGCATTTTTCTTTTTTTTAAGCAAGTAAAGCCCATTGTAGAAATAAAGATTCTGTACAAGTTTCTAATAGTCTATGTACACAAAATTATATTACTCATAACAAAATTGAAAGTCTTATTTGTAGACCATGGCTGGTAACACCAAAGAGAGCTATAACATTAAACTCTTGAAGCAGAGCAGGCAGCAGGAGACCCCTAGAAAACAGGTTGGTGCCTGGATATGAAGTCCATGACTCAGTTATGGGACCTGTATTCTCTAGTTCTGTGATTTGATGTTTCACATTCTAGCAGGGAATTCTGCAGCAGGCAATGTGAAAAAGAAGACATGTTAAAATGAAATTTGAAATGCTATTTAAAATCTGCATATTGGCTATTATAATGGGTTTGTGAATCCAACTTGTATCCAAAGTTCGTTTGCTCATTCTCCATTCATTTATTCATTCTGCATGTCTACAGTGATTTGAAATCAGAATGAATTCCAGCAGGTGGAAAAAACAGCTTTGAACAGATAAGATAGACTGTGAGTCAGATTCTTGATTCTTTATCCTCAGTTGGCTCCTGAATATTGGGAACAACTGGCTTTGCACAGAGGAAGGAGAGAATGCATAACCCCTGGCTGGTTCCTCAGTCAGCCCCATGCTCATGGTTCCTTTTGTGTCCTCCCCAGCACCCCTTCTGTGAGGATTAAAAGGGTCACTGCCCAGCCAGGCAGAGTCCCAACCCCACTCACCAAGAGGACAAGGGGTGGGCTAAACCCTCTTCCTTAAGGGAACTCTGATGGGAAGACACTGTAAGATGCAGGCTGTGCTTCAGCCTAAACAAAACCTAAAGTTAGTCATTCTTACATTCCAGCTGAACTTTTCTTCCTTGTAAGTATAGACTAAAAATGCAGGTCCTGGTCTTCCCCTTCAAGTTGACTTCAGTTAAAAAGGGATTGAATCCAGGAACATGCTCTTCACGAGCACCCAGACAATTCTGATGCAGGTGAGCCACAGACCTGCTTTAGAAAAAGCTGGCTTAGTGCATCAAGTCTAGGTCTATGCATTCTTTTTAGGCATGTTTGTAAAACTACAGATTTTTGTGAAACATTTCACAGAATAGATTCTCCTTTCATGTTCTACCATTGTATTCCTTTCACAATGCAGGAAGAAATGGCTAAAATTCTTCAGGGGATGCAAAGGGACAGAAAAGGAAGGGATTGGCTTAAAATCTCTATTTAACACAGGGGGCTATTCTAGACTTTTGGGCTTGGTGAGGTGAGCAAGGAAAATGACAACCTGATCTCAAACTGAGTTCCTACTAAGATTACCCAGAATTACTTGTGAACTCAGAATTCAGAATTTGGAGTTCTGGGAATTATATCACACATACAGTAGTTCCTCCTTCCAAAAGGTGTTTTGAGAGATAGACCGCATTCATATAAATTTTATAGCAATGTCTTTATAATTGGCCTGTTTTATTACTGTTGTTGTTTTTCTCTCAGTGTGCCTAATTTGTAAACTGAAATTTATCACAGGTATGTAAATATAGGAAAAACCATGGTAAATATAAGGTTTGGTACATACAGTTTTAGAAATCCTCTAGGGACCTTGAAGGGTACCCCCACACACATAGATACGAGGACTACTGTAATTTGAGATAAGTTAGCAACTCATTGATATTCATTTTCATCAAAGCAAGTTTTTACCTGCTGAAAAGCTGAGGACTCAGCACTACTTCTACCTCAGATCTAGTGGGTTAGCCAAGGTTGCTATTACTCTTCACTAAGACTCCTAGGAATCTAAATTACCTAAGAACCTAAAATAGTGCCCGGTGTAGGCAGTCGTCTTCCACTGGCTAAAAATGCTGTGAGTTCCCACTGAGTCACCACTTTTCATCCCATGATGATGAGAAGAAATTAACTGCAGATGGATGGCATTTTATACTAACTGCCATCCAGAACATTTTTAAAAGAAAAGATCTCAGATGAAAATTTCCTCCTGCTCAAAGATCTCATTTCAAATCTAGAAAGATGGCAGTAGAGCATGCTAAGGTCTACGTAACAGGGCTCTGTTCAAAGCAAAACTTCACCACTGCTGCAGATTCCCTTGTCAGGCAAATGTTGGAGCACTTTGGTACCTCTGAAAACTAGCTGCTCTTCTAGGATCCTTGAGTTTTCTATTTTCAGACCTCAATCTTAATTTCTGACAGTTTTTCTGACTCCAGTGTGCCCTGGAAAAAGCCCTAGTTATTTCTCGCCCTGGTCGTTTTCATCTTTCCTGCTCCAGTTCCTTAGGTGGGCCATGGTAAGGGTCAAGGTCAGGGACAGAAGGATCAAGGACGAGGTCAGCAGATGCAGGTGAGTTGAGTCCAAGGGGGCTGGCGGTAGGGAGGGATGGCTAGTAATTTAAGAAGTCAATCCCCACTTTGACACTCTTTGAGGTGGCTATATCGACAGCTGTGGCCTTGATCTCAGTGTCCCCAAACTGCATGAGGGTCTGGATTTCTCTCCGGGCAGGCACCGCTGTGCTGCTCGTCCCTGTGAGATCCAGACGGAGTGTGCCACACTTCTTCACCCCTGGGTCGGTGATGAAGCTGACATTGTCATGCTCGGAACTATAGATGTTGATGACAATGACCAGCTGGGAGGGCTTGGCTGGAGTGTAACTACGCTTGACCAGCTCACCCAGTGCCACAGACTGATCGGCAGAGATGAACTTGTCGAAGACATCGGTGCACCAGCGAGTGCCATCCTTCACCAGCAGCTTTTCAGGTGGGTGCTTGCCCTCCACGTAGCGGTTCAGCACGCCCACCCCATAGGTGAGTGGGGATCGGCGCACCTTGATGACGGCAGGGTCCAGGCCAAAGAGGACGGCGCCCTTGAGGATGGTGAGGCCCACATCTTGGGGGATGATGATCCGGCACTTGTCACCAAAGGCGGCCTGCACTGCTTGCTGCAGGAGAGGTGCCTCAGCAAAGCCACCCACCAGGAAGAGGAACTTCACTGTGGATACCTCAGGCTTCTGAAACAGGTCCCCTGAAAGGGAAAAAGAAGAGGGAAGGTCATGTCACCAGAAACAGAAAGCAAGGGGGGCTGGGCTGCCTGAGTCCGTGGGGAATGGGCTAGACCACTTGGACCAACTGGAGGACTGGCTTAGTCTGAGTTTGCTGCACAGAATTTTTGTTGAGTTTGTCTTTTGAAGAAAGGGACTATGTACACCAGGATGCCCAGGAAGAAAAGCCAGAGCTGCTGCTAAGTAGAAGTCCGTTTTACCAGAGAGTTGCTCATCATTTTAAGTAGAACTCGTTATTCACAAAAGAATATTCCTGAAGCTCTCTAAACCGGTGATTCTGTTGGGTAAGTCAAGGCAGGCTGTTATCAAGAGCCTTCTCTGATTTTCTATGTACTGGTGGTGAGGCTGGACAAGTCAGTCCCCATTCTTGGCTCTGCCCCACCAAGTGGCTAAGTTGTGATGATACTTACGGAGGTGCTCAATGATACTGTCAATGGTTGGCTTGAAAAGGGCGTTCATGGCATCTGGACTCATCCTCAGCATCCCCTGAGAAGACCACTTCACAAAATCCACACTAGGGACATGACACAAAGAGGAACAAACTGTGAGTGTCCACACAATACCTACACATTTCTGCATAAACATGTGCCCTGGTAGAACATTGGTCACATCATGGGGAAGAAAGGGATTTGAATCAAAATCACCCTTGGAAGTTCCCTGAACTGCCAAGACCTCGATCCTCAGAAGCTCAAGAGCTAAGAGGTTTTTTCTGTTTACCTTTGCTTTTTACTGTGGCTGACCTTCCCCTGGGACAGTGAAGGCCAAAGTCTAGTGCAAGAGACAAGAAGATATAGAGGGACCTCGATGGTCTGTTGGAGAGTCACATTTTTAATCCAGTGATAGCTGGATGTGAACACTGTTAAAGGCCCCTATAACGCGTTCGTTGTACTGCTACTTAAGCTACAAATGTGCGTGCTCAGGTATATCTCCTCAGTCCTCCACACAACTGTCACATCACAGGGATAAGCCTAATCCTACAGGATGTTCTCATGGTCTCTATCAAAGGTATAACATGTCTAGAAGCAGCAGTGTGGAGCAGAAAGAGCACTGGATCCATAGGGAACTGGGGTGACTGGGCTCCAGTCTGGCCCCACCACTTACTGACTATGGACTCTGGGCATGTTGACCTCCAGGAGTCTGGCCCCTTCATTTGGAAGTCAAAGATAAGAGTGTTTGCCTTCCCACCCTCCCAGGGGAGGTTGTGAAGATCGAGTTAAATGTGATGTCTGTGAAAACACTATGGAAGTTTTGAGCACTAAACAAATGTCAGGAATTTATTACCCAAACCCACAGTAGGAGCCCTGCCAGTTTTAAAATTCAGGAGCCACGCAAGTGGCACTTAGTCACAGACCACTGTGCCATGGGGCTGAAAGCGACTCGGAGCCACCTTAAAGAGGATCCTACTGATCAAGATGGGTTGACTTGAGTATCAATGAGGGTATTGCTGTCATGATTTAAAATATATCAAGCATGTTTAAATCCATGAATTCTTTTTTTTTTTTTAGTACTGGGGTTTGAACTAAGGGCCTACAACTTCAGCCACTCCACCAGTCCCTTTTTCTGTGATGGGTTTTTCTGAGATAAGGTCTCTCAAACTATTTGCCCAGGCTGCCTTTGAACTTCGATCCTCCTGATCTCTGCTTCCTGGGTAGCTAGGATTACAGGCGTGAGCCATTAGTGCCCGGCTAAATCCATGAATTCTTAACAATACTGCCTTTGTTCCCCTACAAAATAAAACTTATCAGCATTTTGGAGGGTACCAGGGCATCAGCTTTTTAAAACTTTTAACTGGGGGGGAAAGAATCAATCATTTGTCCCTTTTCTTATGTGAACTACACACCAGGACAGCCAAACTGCTGAGGAGACAACTTTGTCTCTAAAGGAGTTTTCCAGCAACACTAAATGAAGAAGGAGTGATAAGTTAGGATGATGACCACGTGACCAAAACGGATGAATTATGGCCTAAGGCGATGAGCATCAATGGCTACTAACATCACAAAAGAAGAGACAAGCAGACCTTACATGTTCCCTAATGTGATGCAATAGAAAATATCACTGCCCATTAAAAAGGTTTGCAAAAATGCAAACTTGAATCTGATTAAGCCTCTAAGTCAATGTGTTTATTTTCAAGAGCATGACAAAGGGACAGAAGAATGGATCATGGGCCATTATGAGTATGCAGTGGGAAAAACCCAGTCTGTAGAAACTCTGAGGATGATCAGCCAGTCTTGTCATCTAATAAACTACGGAGGAAAAGTTCAGAGGGCGCCTCTGCACTAAGTGGGACTTGAGAGGCAATCAAGTAATTATCACCCAGTCCTCATTTGGATAGTGAGGTGATGCAAACTGGAAAAAAACTAGGAGACCCACTGGAAAAACTGGTAAGGTTAATGGATATTTGATGAGGTTACATTGAAGAGTTAATCATTTTTAAGTATAATAAAGGTATTGTAGCTATGGTTTTAAATTTCTCTCCTTTAGAACCACATGCTAATGCATTTATGGATTAGATGATAATCTGAGATTTGTTATAAAAAATGGGGGAGGGTTATGAGATTGAAACTGGCTAGAACTGACAAAAATTGAAAAACTAGATGATAGACTTTCATTTTCCATGATAAAAAGGCTACTAGGAAAAAAGTAATTATGGAGAGTGACAGGAATGTTAAATGTTTGTGACAATCATTTCACTATGAATATGTTTATCAAAAACAACCTTTGTTTGAGACAGCGTCTCCCTGTATAGCCCAGGCTGGCCATGAACTTGAGATCTTCCTGCCTCAACCTCCCCTTTTCTGGTATTATAGGCATGGACCACCATGGCTGACTCAAAAATAATTTTAATGATTTTGTCCATTTTTTCTAACTTCAGCTTTAAACCATCTTCCAAATAAGTTCATTTTGCAACAAACTTAGCTCTAAACACTTGCTTATAGCCAAGGGACTTAGAGAAGCAAGAAATCCAGATTCCTGTGGGTTTCACTCAACAAATATTTACTGAGCACTTCGTATGGACCAGGTGCTTTTCTAGGCACTGCGATTACATCAGTGGCCAAAACTAAACTTCCTTGCTTTCATAAAGCTATTTTTTTTTTCAGAAACTAGTAACTAACACATAGATCACACTTTTCAGATTCCAGGTGTTGTGCTAAGCACCTAACATAAATAAATTCATTCCATTCTCACAACAACCCTTTGAGGTAAGTGGAATTATTATTCCCACTTCCCAGATGAAAAAAGCTGAGGCACAGAGACGTTGAGTCATTTGCCCAAGATCACACAGCAAGGGTATAGGATGGGAACTCAGAGTCTATACCCCCTTCCTCTCCCATCGGCACGGTCTACACCCAGACTGTCCCAAGCCCAGTTTACTTGCTCTTCCTCAAGGCATGTTCCACACTGTGCCCACGGAACTTCTTGTAGTAGTCAATGAAGGAGAAGGGTAGGGTGATGTTCAGTGGGTTAGTTCGGTCTGGGGCAGCCGCTCTTTTTCGAGACTCAAACGCAATCATTAAGTCAACCCAGGCTGCAGGGCGTTTGATTTTGAATTGTTCGATAAAATCTTCTCCAAATATTTTACACAGAAGTTTTTCAAATTCATAATCCACTCCCAAGGATCCATAGGGTCCACCTGCGTTGAACATGAAACAGAAGCCAGAGATGTTAAAAACCATCAGAAACAGAATCTAAATTCTGAGAAACAGGCCTGCCTACCCTATGGCCTTTTCTGAAACACAAAGAAATGCAGACTTGGGCCCACTTAGCAAGTCAACTGCAGCTAATGTTTTTACTTACACTTTACAACCTTAGGTTCTTCTCATGACACATGGAGAACTTTTTTTCTACAGAAATCTCTCGTCAATACACTATTTAAAATCAATTACATTTCTAAGAAGATCAATACATTTAACTAAGTAGGAGCATCGTGGTATACCCACCTGGGAAAGCCCAGGGCAGAATCTGGAAAATCACAAGGCCCCTGCTAGTCCCTGTGTGACCTACTAGTAAAGGACTCAACGTGTTCTTGGCTTTGGCAATCTTGATCCAAGCCCAGGGGCCCAAGGCCTCCCAAAACCCTGACCTTAGTTCTAAATCATAGGTAATGCCAGGTTACAACCACATTTTTGAAGAACATTCAAAAACAAAGTGCCTTGGCCAGGTTCACTTGATGCCAAAACTCTAGTGATTTGTGTTTGAAAGAACATTTAACCACATTTTGCTTTCCAATTTCGAGCAGACATGAGTATCCCCCCTACCGCCTACAATCCACATGCCGGAGTCATGGAGAAAAAGAAGTAGAGAAAAGTCTGAAATGAGCAAAATGGAGCTGTCTGGAAAAGGCTCAGGGATGAGAAAACTTGTCATGCAGTGCTTCACCTGTTGCTTTATACAGTTCCTTGAGGTGTCCTTCTGGTAACCGTATCTGATGGACTGTCAAGTCTACAGTGCCTCCGCCACTGTCCACAACCACATACTTGTCACCTGGTATAAAAATAGCCATTCTTTAGATAGACCACTTGTCAATCCCATCTCAAACAAGCTGGTGGATGATAACTGACTAGTATACCCAGCTAAGTGTCATCACGCTACTCATTAGCACAGTGGTTCTGCTAATTAACAGCATAGCGAGTTATTCATTACTAACGAGAGTATAATCATATCTTCCCAGGAGGGCCAGCTAAGCATGGAGAACAAAGACCCCAGATGAGTAAGTCTTCAAGACAAAGCATTCGTGTCACACAGGGCTGCACACCCGGCACATCTCATTACCTGCTCTTCAGTGCAAGACTTACTCCAGGACTGGGAAGCTGCAATTCCTATCTTTCTTGGGTACAGTCTATGTGGCTTTACAGCATGCAAAATTGCAGCTCCCAGCAGGGCTCTCCCTGGGTGAATGGCCTTTAAAACCCACTGACATTGAACATACTCCCAAAGTGCAAACAAAAGGAATGAGTGGGGATGCAGTTCTTGCACACACACACACACACACACACACACAAATCCAGCAGGGGCAAAGGACATTCAAACTCAAGGACACTACCTTCCTCCAGCTCGGACCAGATTTCTCCTATGACATTCTCCACCAAAAATGTCCGACTCTGCCGATTACGCCGTATGTGTTCCTTAGCTAGTGGCCGACAGAAAGAAAATGACGACAGGTAAGAAAGAAAGCATGAAAAAGCGGACAGTTGTATGCCGTCAGTGGAGACAACAACGTGAGGAGGTTAAGGGATGGAACTTGTTCTGACACTTGACCAAAACGATTAATAAACACACAAAGCTAGTTCTTCCAAAACAGAGTAGCTCCTTCTCCCTGCCTTCATCGATTCCTGCTGAAAAGCCCATCTGGATGGAATTCTGTCCTCCAGTGACATTGTTTTGGGGAGTGAGTTAATAAAATAGGCCAACTTCTCATCTTTGCTCACAGAGGAAGCTATGTGCCAAGAGTTCCACTGGGCACTCAGTTAAACAACTGTACATCAAGGAACTTTGTTTGATAAAGAAATGTTTTCCTAATCTGGATCTTAAGAGAAATCGGAAATCATTTCTGGACTCGGTTGAAGACAATATACTCTCTGGCCACAAGGTGGAGCTTTAGCCACAAGCGGCTAAAGCCCCACACCACCTTGTTCAGGAACCCTGGGAACCCACCACCTCTGCTGAGTGGCAGTGACATCCCTGGAGTGAGCAGGGCACAAATCATTGTCCTTAGGCTCAACTGAGGGGAGGTTAAGGGACTCACTGCTCCTTCAACTCTTGTTTTGCAGCCCAAAAGGACTCTTCGGACTCTCATTCACACCTTTGGGATTTAACAATTTACAAGCTTGAAAGAGCAGATTCATGGGATGGCTAGAGAGGAGAAAGGGGCTGTGAAAGGACACCTGGGAAGTAGCAGAGCATTGCCAAGGTGGGCGCCTGGGTAAATCACTTAACCCCACTGGGCCTCAGTTTACTCACCCATAAGTGGGGATATTACTGGTTGGTCTAAGTTCCTCATGGGCAGAGCAGGGGGTTTCACTAATAAATCCTGGTTCTCTATGTATGCCTGGTGTGATAGCCAGCACATGGTGGGTGATAATGAAGGCAAAGTACCTACTATGAAGTCTGGTAGTCAACAAATGACAACTACTGTGAATGATTTAGAGCAGCCCCTGAGGTTACAGATGCAGGCTGTGCTGCCCTGTCCCCCCCACCACACCCTCCACCACCACGTTGGTTTTGTGTTTGCATTTTTAGTCTTCATGTTGGTGCTTTTGAATTGCCTTTCAGATTCTTCTTTTTTTTTTTTTTTTTTTTTCTTTCTTTCTTTCAGATTCTTCTTTGCTGGTTATCCAATAAAGCACCCTTCACCCTCCTGCCTCTTTCAGCAAGGATCACAGTATCTGCAGACAATTCCTGTGGGGAGCAGAATGGCAATCCCTGGCCAGTTCCAAAATCTGCAGGGTTTGAGTTAGAGCAGAGGGGGAGGGTATCCCTGGAAGGGCGCCCCAAACTCAGGACTTCTCTCCTGTTCCCAACACTGGTTCCAAATGAACTTATGTTACAGACCTCTGAGGAAGGATCTAGCTTTCCAAAACAATCTAGATGGCACACAAAAAATGGCTTTCATAAAAAACAGTCAAGTGAAGCTAACTGACCATGTTCTGAGCACTCACAAAATTATCCCATTTTTCAGGCAGATGAAGCCCAAGATTGTGAACTAATGTATCCTTTTATTGACGTCATTAAATTCTTTCATGCTGGGGGCCCTGTGTCAGCTCTACTCCTCCTCTGTGATATCCCCTGGGCTCTGATCACAAAGGCACCTATAAGCAGGATAAGGCTCTGCTAGGCTCCCCACCCCACGATTTTCCTATTGTAAAACAACTGGACACCAGACCCCCTACATTGCTGCCCCTCGGAGGCATGGTGGCCAAAGCTTTAGGAATTCCAAAATCCAAAAGATCCCTCTAAGCACACACAGCAACAAAATCCACAAGCTACAAGCAGCAGACACAGAGCAGCATGGGGGGCGAGGAGAGGTGTGATATGCTAAAGGAAAGGAAACTCAAACCCAGCTCTAAGGGAGGGCCATCATTCAAAACCAGATTTCTCCCTAGAATGTGAGTGTGTCATACAGAGTATGGGAAAAGGACCTTACATGAACTTCTGTTTATGAACAACTGAGAATTAACGTGAAGACATAAGCCCAGTCTTTTTTTTTTTTCCAACAAGACAATAAAGGAATACAGATATATTGTCCTATTTGAAATGTTAATAAGCTTGGTTTCATTAGCAGTAAGGCTGGCCTTGGCATCCCTTGGGGAGGCCAGAGGTTGAAGACTGCTAGAAAAGGTTTAAAGGGAGGCCCCTTTCCCTTCCTTCTAGGTATATCAGATCTAAGGTGCTAATATACTGCCCTGGCAGGCTAGGGAAGCAACCTGATAACAATTTAAGCTCTTATCATTCCTGGTGACAGGTTTACAGACTCCTGTAGAGGATTTTAAGGATTAAAATGCACAGTTACCCCTGTGAAGAGGAAGTGGCCTGGAGAAGATGCCAGCCAGTACGTTGGGTGCATCTGCTCAGGGTGAGCCTGAGCCCAGACCTCAGGGAGCACAGACTCAGGCTTGGGATGTGGGCAATAAGAAAACGTGTGAACCAGCGTGTTGAGGGACAATCCTTACTGATGTCTTCCCTGTTCTCCTCCTGGGCCTAGGGCCTAGGGCCTTCCAGGATACATTTCTGCCCTCTAGGCCTTCATCTAAGAGCACAGAAGTCAGAGCTGTGGTGTCCTGTAGCACTCAATACACACAGTGCCCCTCCCTATTAGTGCCCGTGCTCAAGGTGGGACTCTGACCTGACCTATCCCATCTAAAAACCCTGGAGCCTTGGAAACACAGAACCTGGGGAAAACCATGGACACTGGGGAAAACAGTTCTGAGGACCAAGACTGTGACCATTTGTATGCAGATAACTTTTAAAGAGGAGACACTCCTTCTCACAGCTAAATATGCACCTCCTGGGTCAGGACAAGTCAGCCCCTTTGGGCTGTATTTGAAATGCTCAGCTAAAACATATAATGAGCTCATCACACATGAAGCAGCTCAATGAGTGAGTCAGCGATAAATCAACAGCCTTAATGGAGGAATTAATAACAGGCAAATTGGATTAGATTAAGATTCAGTTGATAGGCAAGAAAGATTAAGAGCTAGTAAAATGCAAGGCCAAGAACTGCTCTAAGGCCCCCCCTCGAGTTCTTGGGGAGATGCCCCCTCTAAGAACTTGGTGGATGATAAATCAAGGTAACTAATGCTTAGTTCACAGAGGTCCTTATAGGGGCCTGGTAGAGGGTTGGGTACAGTGGGGCTTAAAGCCCACTCCCCCCAGAGTATTTCATCTCTTCCTTCTAGCCCTAAGTGGCTTTAACATCGATCTGAGGCACAGGGATGTTCAGGGGTTAGGAGGAGAGGAGAGGGGAGGGAGAGAGAGAGCAGAGGTACCCTGTGCAAACCCCGCTCCTACTGTGTCACTGCCGCTGTACCCATTGACCACCGTCTTGCTGCTCAACTCAATCATCTGGTGCAGTCGCAGTTTGCGGCAGTAGATGGAGGCCGCCTCGGGCTCCAAGGCAATGATGAGCTGCTCTGAGTTCTCTGGGGAGGCCAGGCCCGCCTGCAAGACAGAAGCAGAGGCTAGGACCCACAGGTCCCCAGGCAGACCCACTCAGAGGACACCCACACCTCAGGCTGATACTCCCAAAGAAGGGAGTATCTTGGCTCTGCTTGCTTGTGACATTTCCTCCACAGGCCTCTGCAGAGCTTAACATCAGGAATGATTGGATTCTGGGTCTCCAAATGCTCAAAGTAGCCACAGAAAAGGACCAGCACTCTCGGGAAATGCAAGATGCTCCAGCCTCAGGGCCTCTTGCTCTTGGGTTGCTCAGCCTAGAACTGAGAAGTATCAGAGAGGACATGATGTACCATGGGGTGCAGATGGGGGTTCCATACTCAAGTGGTAGAGGGACAGAATTGCAAAGGCCCCAAAACTTTGAAAACCATCACAGGGGGCAGGTTATAATGGGACTCAGGGTTGACTGAGGCAGAGCAGACCCCAATGTGGGTGGACCCCAGCTAGGCAAACATCTGAGTTTGCCGTATGAGAATCTGACCTGATGTCTGTAGCATGCTGGGAGCACCATGAGCAGGAGCTCCCAGAGGAAGCCCCCCGCCACTGTACTCCCCTAGAGTCCCGCATTTTCTAGAGTGTGGACATCCAGCCAGCTGGCAGGTACTTATTCAGCCTTATCCCATTAATAGTTTGTATTATATATATATTTATCACACATAATATAAATATTCTTAATAATGTAATAGTTCAGTTCCCAAGTTCCCATTTGTGGCCTTGAGTTGTCAATATTTGGGACCTTGGCTGGCAGAAGACGGAAATGCTTCTGCCCTGTGACATGTGATCTGTTCCAGTCATGGTGGCTCCAGGCTCTAAGAAGGGCCAGGACAGAAGGCCACAGGACCACAGTTCTGAGCATGCTCTGAGAAATAAGTCTTGGCCTGTCACTGAGTCCCTGCCCACTCCCATATCCCTGAGTCTGAGCAGGAGTCTCACTGTGGATGCTGTTCAGGTACATGGGGTTTCCTTGGCTGTCACCAGGATGGAAACAGCACAGATCCTTCCAGTTACCACTGTGCTGCTTCTCTGTTGCCATTTCCTAGAGAACCTGGGAGTGCTGCCCTGTGCCACACCCATTTAGGAAGGCTTAGTGGACAGAAGGTCTCTTAATTCACATATGTATGTATGAATAAACCTTCATCAGGCGGAGCCATCCTAGAGCCATGCGCAGAGGGACTTAGTGGGAAAGAAGAAAAGGGGGATTCAGGTTAGAACATTATAAATGTAAGGGACCTTCGCAGCCTTTCATGCAACCTCTTAACTTGATGTAGAATGACGCCACGCCCCAGAGAGAGGGTGACCAGCTGTCCTGGTCTGCATAGAACAGCGGGATTCCCTGGGACATGAGACTTTCAGTACTAAACACAGCACAGTCTTGCTCACAAAACCTGTGAGTGGCAGTGCCAGAGTTGGCAGGGGTTTGTGTCTACAAATGGGGCTTTGGAAGTCACTCGGCTGTCCTGCTCTTGCTGACTGCAGTTACAGGGGAGATGTCTGGCACTTTGACAAAATCCCCTGACACTCCCTCTCAACTGGCTTAGAGGAAACATCTCTTCCCCTATTAGCTCTGCACAGTATCAGACAACAGCTGTTCAACTGGCATCAGAAGCGCTCTACAACAACCGAACCCCAAATCAACATCGTCAATAACGTCTGAGTGAGCAGGCGAGTGTTGGAATATCCTCACTCTGCAAATACCACACACCTCACAAGTGGCAGAGCCCCTTCTGGAAGCCTGGCTTCATAAAACCAGGTGGGACCCACACCCACATTCTGCAGTGTCCACAGGAAGCCCCCCTTCCCCAACATCCAGTACCCTCAGCTGCAGCCCAACAAGTGCAGCATACATACTCACCAACCAGCTCCATAGGTCAAAGAGGCTGGCCTGCTCTCAGGTGACACTAGCCACTAACTCAGGAGGGAGAGATTTTCCACTGCTCCTTGTTCAAGCAATTAAAAGTCCCGCTGTCCCAGCTTCACTTTCTCCCAGGGTCACATCAGACACCTCAGCACAAAGCTGAATGTTAAGGTACCCAGTAAAATCAGATATGGGTTACACACATGAAGTGCCATCCAGGATGGTGAAACCTCTCAATCTGAGTGTGGAGGGTTTCCAGATGAAGACATGTAAAACAAGAAGGAGCAGAGCCCCCTTCTCAAGGATGGCTCATGTGCTGAGTTGTCCATTATTATGTTTGTAGCATCAAAGACCAGCTGGAAGAATAGAAGCCAACCGCAGCTTCTCTAGCACAGGGTGAAGAATAAGGAAAGTCTAGCTGCAAAGGCACAGCTGGGTCTAGCTGTACAAGGTTCTCTTCCAAAGTTTAGACTTGAGACTAACTCGAAGAGACAGGACTCCCGGGGTGGAGTCCAGGGATCTGGAGTGGAGGAAGATAGGCAAGGACCTACCAACTCCACAAGCCACATTCTGATCTCATGTCCCATTGGGATGTCAACATGCCAGGTGGGGTTTGCCACAGCAAAGTCCCCAGGTACCAAGAAGAACCACATGAGCCTGGGACATGGCAGGGAAGAAAGAGCTTCACATAAGCTCCTTGTTCCTCTATCCACCCCAATCCTGACATTCTGAGCAGGAGTTCCGATTTAGATGGGAAGTCTTTACATAAAAAATCAAATCAACCACAGAGGCATGAAAAGTCTTGTGTAAAATGATACAAGTGAGGGCATGTGAGTGTGCCAGCGAGTGGCTGACACCCAGCAAGATGTTCCTCCCTGCTGGGAAGCTCTACAGCCTGACATCGAAAAGAGACATTCAGGCTAGCCTGAGTTTGTTCCAAATGGCACAGGAGGGAGACTGTCTTCTGTCCCTCCCTAGCTGGGCTGGTGTTGTGTCCACAACAATAGTTATGACCCATTTCCATTGAGGAGTTCTTCACTGCACCTGGGAGAAGCTGCAGAGAGGGGATGGAGGTAAAGAGGACTCCACTCCAGAGAGGAAGAAGTGGCAAGGTCAGAGAGAGATCTTCAAAGTGTTGGGGAGACCCAGGACAAAGTAACCACACCCTTTTGTTTGACTCAGCCCCCCGTCCCGCTCTCCAGTGAGAGTGAGAGGCTGTGTTTCCACCAGCATACTCCTGAGAAGCCACCGAGACCTGGGGGGGTGTGAGGTTCGGGTAGGAGGGGGAAAGGAGGCAGATGGCTCTGTACAAATTCCATCTCCACAGGAGGATCCCAGAGCCACTTGTGGATTCCAAGAACAGGAGGAAATGAGAAAGAGCCACCCAGGCTCTCAAAATCCCAGACGTCTTCATCTCTGGTAGGAGACTCCTTGCCCAGAACTGCAAGCTCTGTTTCTGCTCAAACACTGAGTCACTCTGCACAGCAATTCTCTGGACCTGGAAGCACTCAGGAGACCAATGGGTCTATTTGCCTGGGATTGGGCCAGGGTCAGCTGGAACAGAACACTCTGCCTTTGCAATTCTGCTTTGAAGCTGGTACCTCACGGTTACTATTCCAATGTGAGCTCTCCCTCCATTGGGGCTCCTGCCAGGAATTTCACATATTGTCACAAATGATGTAGAACTGATAGAGAAATGTCTAACCTCTCCTGCAAGATGGTATTATTTCCTAAGGGCAACAGCCAGGGCCTCTTGCACTGTAGCACATAGGAGGTACTTTCGGGAGGCCAGCTGCTGAATAAATGAATTCACCATCTATCCATCCTGCCTTTCCAATCCTCGTATCTGCTGCTCTGAACAGAAATATTCCACAGATGGGACCTGGGGAGTCTCCAAATAGAGCATGTTCCTCTGTTTGACTCCTCCAGGAACCCGAGCCAGCAGGAGCAGCCTCATAGCAGCTTTTTACAGCATTCCTTGTGTCCATAAGCTCCACTCAGGAGGAGCAGAGAGAAAACCACCCTCCAGGGGAGCAGATGGAAGTGGCTGTTTACCCAAGCTCCCTAGCCTCATCCTAGGCCCTGCAATCTGCTAGGAAAACCTGCCAAGGGACTTGTGTCCACAGCTGTGAAAAATGGCCAGACTGGTTAAGTGCTCTGCCGGCCTGTTGTCAGGCTCAAAAGGGCTCCAGCTGCACCAGTTCTGGGCGTGATGAACTTTAGTTTCTCCTGATAGGATTATTTTTACTGCAGCTTGTTCAGATAGGGAGGGGAACACAAGCTGTGTCTCCATGTTAGATGACATCATCACAGACATGGAAGCATCATTTAACAGGTTCTGAAACCTACTAGAGTTACACATTTTAAGCAAAATGCCTTTAGAAAAAACTGGGCTATTTCCCATCCACAATCCCTCACCCCAACCCAGATTCAGTGGAACGGTCTCCTGCTTCCATGTGTTTCCCAAAGGCCTTGGAAGAGGATCAGCTGTTCTTTCTGCTACCATCTTGTCACTGAACACTCTTAAAAGGTTTATGGATGTCCTGAGTGTGTCACTTGTGGGCAGTGACTTGATGCTGGATACAGTATCATTCCAGTTCTGCTCCAGTCCTCTGTCCTCCTTCTGCCTGGCGGGAGGGTGACACTCAGTCCCACATGACTGTGCCATTGACTTGTACCCAGGCAGCCTTCCAGAAGCCTGGAAAGAGGGACTCCACGTTTCCCATGTAAGCAGAGCGGACATGCCCAGTTTCCCACTGTTCTGACGGAACACTAATTCCACCTCATTCTCCAGGTTCTTTTGCCTGAAGGCAGGCCAATAGGATGTACTTTGGGTGAAGGGCTTATTGGGCAGTCTTCACCTTACAGAAGAAAACACATATCCACCTGGTGAAACACTTTTCACAGAGATGGATACCTGTGAGCATCCTTAGAAGCCACTGGGCCAAGAACTATGATTTTTTGCTCAGGTATTAGCCAGGGTTCTCCAGAGAAACAGAACCAGTAAAGAGATTTATTATAAGGATTTGGCTTACAATTATGAAGGCTGACATGTCTCAAGCTCTACAGCTGGCAAACTGGAGACCCAAGGGATCTTGTGGAGTAGTTTCTATCCAAAGGCCATGGGTTCAAAACCCTGAAAGAGCTAATGTTTTAGCTCTTCCAATGTCCCAGCTCAAAGGCAGGCAGGCAGAAGGAAGTTCCTCTCACTCAGGGGAGAGTCAGTCAGTCAGTCAACTGAAGTCTTACTCAGACCTTCAGTTGCAGGCAGTCCAGCCACTTGAGGGAAGGCCATCTGCTTTCCTTGACTGAGTCATTTAAATGTGAACTCGTCCAAAACATCATCACAGGAATCCCCAGAACAAGTTTTAACCAGATATCTGGGCACTCCGGTGCCCAGTCAAGGGAATCCACAGGTTAACCATTGTAGGGTAGATTTATCTTTCTTACTCTGTATAACAATGGCAGTGGGGGGTGGGGGTGTGTAACCAGCTTTACTTCCATTCTCCTTGGGATCTTCCAGAGGACAACCTTAAGAGACTAGAGACAAGTCCACAAAGTAACCATGCCCCCAATGTACCCTGTAGCCCCAAACCATGAGCCACTCAACTATGGAGCAATCTGAGGATAGGTACTTCATGTTCGCCAGGTGGATGAACCCAGTGCCTCCCACAGACCTGGCATACAAAGACCCCAGTGCAGAGATGTGTACTGAATAAATCAATAAACAAATAAAAAATAATTGAATGATCACTGCCATCTTTAAATCCACTCATTCACTGTGGACTGAACACAAACATGACATCATAATTACAAAGGGTTAAAACCTAAGCTGCGAAATTGCTGGGCCAGAGGACAGTTATCCATCCCTGAGAAGACAGTCCCCATCTATACTGTGTCTGTGAGCTTCAGAAAACAAATCCCACACGCTAGTCATATCTGTCCTTACTGGGAGCTCCTGTCCTTTTCTATCTGAGTGGCCATTTTATTCCACCAAAGCTGAGAATGCTATGCCTGCCCTGCCTGGTTTCCTCTACAGACTCTCCAATGTGGGCCCCCCTCTCCTACCCTACCTACTCAGAGACACAGTCCTAGAAAGACTGGCCCAGGGCTGCCACAGCCCTGACTAATTGCCCAATCACGGCACCTCTTTCTTTTTCAGTCTAAAAATAAGATTTGACCTTTTTATAGGTCACACATTTGTTGCTGAAGTCTTCCTGTGGACTGAGAAATGTGATGTGAAGCCATGAATCTTGCATATCCTTCCTGGGAAAACTCAAAGCACCAGGAGATGCACATGGCTATATTCTCATGTCCTATCTTCAGACACTCCCTGCAGGCTGGAAAAATCTCTGTGATGCCCAGAGCGTCTATGAACAGCTAAACTGTACATCTACATACTTTTTTCTTCTCTTCTTAAAGAAAGCCTCTTTTGGAAACTTGTACCCTTTTCCTTCATCTCTATGAAAACAAATCTATTTTTGGCAGGTCTATACCCAGAGCCAGATTCTCACGCAGCATGGAGGAAGGGGAGAGCAGAGGAAACAGCCCAGGAAAGGGGGAGAGAAAATGAGGGGGAGGGGGCACTCCCCACTTTGACCATGTGTGAGGTGAACTCTGCATGTTGCTTGGAGTAAGGCCTTGAGTGCTAAACACATGCATGATGCTAGAACTCCCATGACCATTTTGATTGGGTTGATTCTGTGGGTGTTTTGTAAAGAAAGGTTCACATATGTGACCACGAGCTCAAAAGAGGTAAGCCCTCTCAGGTAAGCACCTGAGAGGTGTGGCAGACAGGGCAAGAGGACATCTATTGCCTTGATGCTGAGAACCAGGCAGACCTGAGGTTAAAGACTTAAAACTAACTCCAAGGCACAGAGATTTGAAGCATACCCCAGGGGAGGGTTTTCCTAAGCCAGGGGCTGAAGTTCAATAGGAGCCAGCTTTGCCAGGGGTTGGGGAGGAGGAGAACAGAAGGACAATGTGACCAACTGTCCTTGCCATGACTTCAGCCTGCATGGAAGCCTATGGCACAAGCTGCAGAACGTGAGAGTTGGAGGCCATGAGGGTTTGTGACACTGGTGCCCTGGGAGACGGGCTGACCATCAACACTGGAGGACCTTGTCTCTGAAGTTGGCAAGCGCCCTGCTGACTGGCACAGCAGTGCCTTCCCATGGGAATCTGTCACACATAGGGTGGCAGCACTGGCCCTTCTCTGAGTGTACTTCAGTGCTCCTGTGTGGCTCGTACAGGAAGGTATGCAGAGGACAGCCCAAGGTCACTCATTCCTTAGCTATAGGTGTGTCGTTTTCAGCCTGTATGCCAAGCTGAAATGTCTTATTCATGACCAAGGAAGGGCTCCATCTTCAGTCCTTCCTTACTCAAATATTCTCATTCCCAAGCCTTTTCCTTAAGTTTCTTTCTTCCATGCACACAGGAAAGGCCTCTGAATCCCAGCTTGAAATCCTAGCCCCAGAGAACATACAGTGGGAACACGACCTGGAACTGTATAAAGCCAGAGAGAAAACTGGGTCCCACCCCTCTAGTTGTCAGACTAACCCCCACTTGTCCCCCAGAAGGAAGCTCAGACCTGGGCCTCTTCCCATGAGAGCCTCCTCACTGAGTCCTGAGAAGGCCCATGGATGCTAGGAGATACCTACCATCACCACTGGCCATCCTGGGTCCTTCTCCTCCACCCCCGGCCCCTCACCTGGTAGGCAGCTTGTCTCATGAACTGCTTGGCAGGCTGTTTCCAAATGGCAGGCACTGTGATGACCCATCTGACATCAGAGTTTTCAAAGTCCGAGCCTGCCTGGTCACTCAGCTCCTAAAGGTAAGGAAAATAAAGGCAGCAGGTAGAGGGGCTTTGCTGGTCCCCAATGGCATGTTGCTGCAGCTTCTCTGAGAATCCCTGTTTCCCACCAACTCTGGAGAAATCTGCTCCCCAGGCTACTGTACATACCAGTGTCAGGAGAAGAGTCAGTTTTCTGAATATTCAGCAAGTGGGAAGCTAGGGTTCCTTCCACCTCCTGAATGTGACTCCAGGGGAAGAGAGGCAGGTAGAGGGAAATCTCTTTGGTCACTTCCTAGTCATGGGGCTGTGGCAAGTGACAATATCCTCAGCCTCAGTCTATCTATACAATGGGGATGAAAATATCTAGCTCTTGGGGTCGTAAAGAGAACCGAGAGCTGCATTTACTGGTGGCTTATTAGGTGCCAATCCCTTTGGGCACTGGGTATCCCTTCTATCTTGTTAGCCCATTCAAGAATCCCGTCAGGAAGGGAATCTAATTGTGCCCCTTTCTTGCAGATGGGAATAGTGAGATTTAAGACATGTTCAGTTCTTTTTGACCACTGTACAGCTAGAATGGTGCAGAGCCAAAATTTAGACCCCAAACTCTGAAGGTCAAGATCTTAAATTGCCACTTGTGGTCTCCTGTCTAGAACAGTGTCCAGTCTACAACACGGTTGTTATCACTGTCATCATGGTTGTTATCACTGTCATCACAGTTGTTATCATTGTTATCACTGTCATCGACCTTGCCACAAGCCCATCATATTGGGAGTTTTCATGACAGGGTAGGAAGGGTACAAATGACATGACCTAACCAAGTACCATGTAACCACCCTTAACTTCTGGTTTAGATTAGACCACATCTGTGGCCCAGGAAGAAGAAGTGGACAAGCGAAAGTATCAGAGCTTTCCACCTAACCCACTGAGACAAAATATGCTGCCTTAACAGTTCTTAGACTCAGTATTCCCATCTGTAAAACAGGGAGAATATAACATAACTTACAGTGTTATTGGCAAAATTAAACAAAACACATGGGGACTGTCTGGCCCAAAGACAGCATTAGATCAACGTTAGATCCTTCCTTTCCCCTTCTGTTGCCACATTCTCCAGCCAAATAGGAAATCAAACCTGAACCACACACTTAGGCACTTTTGCCTCAGAGTCAGCTCTGGGGACACAAGATTGATAAAACTACTTTTCTTTATAGTATCTCATTTCTGTTATTGTTTTAAATAGTTATTAGGGTCTGACCTACCTTGTCACTGACTTCCTTTTTGATCAGCAAACCTGTTTTTTGTCTTTTAAACAATTTCAAATGTTTTAATTGTAGTAGGGTACAGATACCATAAAATTGTCAAGTGTTTAACTCAGAAGTGTTGTGGACATTCAGTAAACTTTTTGTAAACATGTTTTTTTAAAATACCTCTGCATCAGAGTCAACACAGGCATGCCTAGCCTTACTCTTACCCTTAACTAGTCGCCACATTCTGGAACCCCAACCAGCGCCCTCCCCTCCCATACCATTCTCCTAGCCCTATCCCCTCCCCCTTCTGATAGGACAATTTTCCTCAGGACTCACTCCCCAAACCCAACCCCTCTTTCTTCTTGGTTATCATGTTGCCCAGATGACCCCACTGTTCCCTGAATCAGAGACTCACTCTTTAGGCAAACCTTCCTCAGGATCAGACTCAGCTGCCTCTACATCTCTTGCCTCCACCTTGCAAGCTCTTGGGACATGGGGTTCACCTTCCTCTATGGTATAGTCACAGGTATCCCCATATTTCATGTGCTTGGAACTTAATCCTCAATGCAGCAGTATTGGGAGGCGAGGCCTAATGAGAGGTGTTTCAGCCATGAGAAACTCACCTTCATGAATGGATTAATACTGTTAAAAACAGCCTTTCAAAGTGAGTTTGGTCTCCCATGTTCTTCTGCCACGTTTGGAAGGATGCAAAGTCCATGAGATCATCTTGGAAGCAGAGACCAGACCCTCACCAGATACCATATCTGTTGGTACCTTGATCTTATCCTTCCCCACCTCCAGAAATGTGAGAAAGGAATTTCTATTCTTTATAAATTACCTAGCCCATGGTACTCTGTTACAGCAGCATGAGATGGGCTACGGTACTCTTCCACTACCCTGTGGTCATGTCATTCCTCTGCAACAGATCCTCTGATCCTCTGATGGTTCCTTGTTACAGAAGTTCCTTAGCTTGGCATTTGCTGCTCTGCATAATTGCATCCTGAGCTCAGAATGCTGCTTTGTCCCCCAGCCTCATCCTTCTCCCACTGCACGCTACCTGCTTCCCACAGCTGTCTGCTAGGCTCTTTCTCCCTTGTGCTGTGCTCTTGACCATCTCATCAACTTGAAATACCCTTCCAGGTGCTGCCCGTGAAACCTCCTCCCACTCTACCCACCTACTGTTCCCTCTGGACAGAATCTCTGCCTCCACCAACACCCATGGTCACCCCTTATGCCTTGACTCTGATCATGCAGGCCTGTGTACTGTGTTCATGTCTACACTGTCACAACTTGTAAGGGATCTGGAACATTAATGGTACTCAAAACAAACAAAAAAGATACTCGAATGGATGAAAGTAGTATTTTGTTCTTACTTTTTCCTTGTCTTCCTCTGACCCTATTTCTAGAACTCACTAAATTTCTTCTAGTGCCAACATGATATCAGATGCTTCTGAAGTTCTCAATTCTCTTTGGATAAAGCTCACACCCATGAAGCCCATGCCCACGGGAAGAGACCCTAAGTAAGCAGCCATATTTCTCTTAACAATTCACAGGTTTCAGCATTCCAAGCCATCAAGGTCACAAGCCTTTTGCAAGGGTAACTGTCTTAATCTGTTTTCTGTTGCTATGGCTAACACCACTGACTGGCCACTTCATAAAGAATAAAGGTTTATTTGGCTCAAGGTTCTGGAGGCTGGAAAGTCCAAGAGCGTGGCACCGGTGTGTGCTTAGCATCCGGCAAGGGCCTTTGTGCTGCATCATAATATGGTAGAGGGCATCACAGGGGGAGCCAGAGCAAGCGTGCCAGCTCAGGTCTCTCCCTCTTCCTCCAAAGCCACTAATGCCATCACAGGGACTCCACCCTCATCCTCCTCTATTCCTAATTCATTCCCAAAGGCCCCACCTCCAAACACCATTAATGTAAGAATTCAGGGGTTAAGTTTCTAACACATGAACTTTAAGCCACAGTAGTGATCCAAGGTTCACACTACCAGCTTCTTCCAAAGGGTGTGGGGGCATGGAAAAGGAGAAGAGATAGCAGCCACCACTTACCAAGGGTCTACTATACACCAGGCCCCAAGGGAGATATTTCATGACTGACAGTTCACTCAGTATCAAATGATTCACGAGGTAGAGTTACCAACCTCACTCCTTAGGTTAGGAAAGTAAGTATCAGAGAGGTTAAGTGCGTTGCCTAAGACATAACTGCTAAGCATGTCTCCTGCCTTTTTTTTTCTATGATATAATTCACAAATAAGAAAATTCACCCTTCACATGTGTAATTCAGAGGGTTTTAGTATATTCACAAGTTCATGATCAAGCCTACTATCTAATTGCATTATCCCACTCTTTAGCAGTCAGTCCTTACTCCCACTTCCCCACCCCAGGCCTTGGTAACCACTAATCTGTTTTCTGTCTCTGTAAATTTGCCTGTTCTGGACATTTCACACAAATGGAATTAAGCAATATGTGGTGGCTTTTTGTGTCTGTTTCTTTTATTTACATGATGTTTTAAAGATTCATGTATATTTTATGTATCTGTATTTCATTCCTTTTTATGGCTGAATGATATTTCATTGTGTGGATATACCACATTTTGGTTATTTATTCAACAGTTCATAGACATTTGGGTTGTCTTCACTTTTAGTAATTATAAATAATATTGCTACAAACATCTATGTATACAAGTGCTTATATGAGCATGTTTTCATTTCTCTTAGGTACCTATCTAGGGGTGGAGTTGCTTGGCCATATGGTATCTCTTTGTCTATCATTTTTTCAGGATCTGCCAAACTGCTTTCCAGAGCAACTGCACCATTTTACCTTCCCACCAGTAGCAGGAATGGCACATCCAGCTGTTCTTACATCAAGGCCCTCAATCTTTCCCTACAAGCTGCACCTGTTTCCCTAGCTGGCAGGTGTGGTACCCTTCACCAGGCCTCACACTGGCTGACTGGCACTAACCCTTGGTCCTACCTTCAAAGCCTGCTCCTTAAAGTACTGCAGGGCATAAGAAAAAATTTCAAGGGCTTTGAGTTTCTTGCCGTTTGCTGCTGTCAGGTCTGTATCCATGGTAAGGTCCTGGTGGGGGAAAGAAATGAAATAACAATAAGACAAGGAAGATCTGCCTTTAGCTTTGGGAATTGCTGCTTGGAGGTCTATGGAATCCTGGTGAGCCATATTTTGTGTTTCCCCATATAATAAATATGTTATAGTCCCCATTACAGACTAGGGTGTGTCTCCAAAATTGGGGTTGGCAGCTGTTGGGGACCAGGCATGACCCTGAACTGGGAATAATGGAGTTTGCACAGCCTCTCCATGTAGAATTTGCACAGCCTCTTCTACCATAATTTTCCCAGTACCTAGGTGTCTTGACCTTTGTTTTCACATCTCCTTGAAGAATACAACCTGCTGTGTCTGCATACCAGCCCCCTGATGCAAAACTAGATAAAGTACCAGAACTGTTAGGAGACTCCCTGATGCCAGATTCATCAATACCTTAGATAAGGTGTCCTGCTTGCCTTGATGATTCCATAACTGATGTGTTGTAATTAAGCTTCATTAGCCTTAAGAAAATTAGCCCACCAAACCTCATTCCTTTCACCTTAGATCAAGAATTGCTAAAGCTTGATTTTTACCTGAGTCTTTTCCTTGTACTGACCTATTAAAATAAACACTCTGGCTCAGGTAGGTGCTCACGTTTCCCATCAGGAACATGCAGTCCTCCTGATACCAGCTTTCTGTTTTATGTTTTATGTGTAATGTCTGTGTGTGTCTTATTTCTCATTCTCCACTGCTCTTAGTCAGGTTCACGCAGCATACCAATGCAGGTTGCGGGCAGGCAGCATTGAACCCTTACTACAGAAGAATCTCTGGCTATTTCCTCCAGATCCCACCTTTTCAGCTCCCTCCATCCCTCCCTCCCTCTCTTTCCCTCTTTCAGGTCCTCTGTGAGCAGAGGAGGTTTCAGAGAATAGCAAAGCCCAGCAAGAGAAAACAGGCAGCAGGCACCACACCAAATATCATTTATACACTACTTCCACCCATGGACACACATGGTCATTTGGGTAGCCACCTGATGGAGGGCTAAGTCATGCCAACTGACTGCTGTGTGTGACACTACGCAGACTTGAAGTTGTCATTCCCCAGTGATCTGCCAACCAAGTCACCAAAATAGAAGAGCTCCTATTTTAAAGTCTGCCCTGTCTAATCCACTGGGAGCCCAGGATGGCCTGCCTCCCTTTCCCTCCCAGAAGCCAAATCAGCTGCTGCACATGGTCCTTGGATGAGGGATGTTCTGTATAGCCAAATACCAGGTAGATAGAGGTCATTAAAAAATGATGAGAAAGGTCCCTGTGGGGTAGGGAAGGGGCAATGAGTAAGAGAAAACATTAGGAGGAAGCCCCTGAACTAATAAACTCACTAATATCAAGAAGAAAAAAAAATCAGTGGACCCTCCAGATTGATACAAGCTAGATAATTATGCTTTGCCTTTGGAGCGAGAAGGGGCAGTGAGCTTGGCCTTGTGGAGCCACTGTGGGCATCCTGACCTATCTGCAGACGTCCACTCCTCCCAGCCGGTGCCTCCCTCTCCTGGTACCCAAACTTCTGGGCTCCCAGGCTCAGGAAGGTGGCCAAACCTCTTAACTGAAAAAAAAAAAAAACAACCTGTGCTTCCACCTGTGCAGTCCTGATATTCAGCATACAATCCTATCAGGAGAAATGGGACAAGCCATTTCTAGCCAGAATTGGTCTTCAGCAGAGATGACCAGCTAACTGCACTGATGAGCATACAGCCTTGGAAGGTTGGCTGCTAGCTGTTGATAGTTCCATGAACATCTGTTTTCATGTAATCCTTATTGTGTACAATTTCATACACACTAATTAAAAAAACTGTTTTATCATCTGCAAACACCACCAGACAAAGGAAAGCAATGCTAATTTAGGAGCTAGCACCTGTCTAGGATTTGTCCTATACCTGACCTGCCTCTGGGAGTCTTAAGTATTTTCATTCCTTAATTCTCACGCTAGTCCTAAAAGCAAGATATTGTTCATTTTACAGGTAAGGTCGGCTTAAGCATAGTGAGGTTAAATTCCTTGAATTAAACATCTTGAAGGTACCAGAGGCAGGAATGGACCTAGAGTCTGTGGTCCCTAAACATTACCACCACCCTCTTAAGTTAAGGAGAGTTGATGGGATACCTTTCATCCTATGCCCCACCTTTCCTATGAGGCCATGGGGTGGAGGATGCCTATTTGGCTAGGGACATCTTACAGAATAGTTACTTCTGGGAGCAGAAGTGAAGTTACAGCTTTGGCATTTGGGTTGCCAGTGACTGGGCACTTGGTGTCCTGAGCTGCTCGCTCCCCACATAGAGGGGTGGACCTGCCAGCTGTTACTGGTTGCTACTTCTAAACCAGTTAGTTACCAGTCACTTCCCTGAGCCCACTAGATGTCCCCAACCCTTGAGCTGCTCCTTGTGGACAGAGGGTCCCCTGGTCTCGCAATAATCCAACAACCAAAGGGGTTGGGCACAGCAGGGTCCCACCACCCTACAATCCATGCCACAGTCAGGGTCCTCTCTGACTGGTCCGTTTCCAGGAAAAGTGAGTCATTAAGTATCCTGAACATCTCCTGCCCTCATGGACATCAGAAAGCACTGTGTATTCCACAAAGTGTTGTGAAGTGTGTGTTCTAGGTTATTTCTAAAATCAAGGTAAATGGATATCAATTTCTGTTTGGGAGAAACCCAAGGGCCCCCTGAGTTGGAAAGACACACCCCCACCTCCCACCCCAAGCTGGAGGAACCTCAGCTCGCCATGCAGAGGACTTGGGCACAGGGAGGGGCTCACTCACCCCTGTAGTGTGCAGCTTCATCTTGAACTTCTCCAGGTACAGCCACTGCTTGGCCTCGTTGGGATCCAGGTCATGGTAGAAGTCCCTGGCAGCATACCCAAAACTGTGGAACTTCCTCTCAGGGGTCAACAAGATGGTGGTTGGGGTCTTCTGGTTGGACACACCAGGGTCGCCTCCCTCCCATCGTCTGCCACCAAGGGAAGGCAAAGGTTACGGGTCCTTCTTTCAAAATCCCAATTCAGGTAGCCCAGAGTTGAGTACCAACTGTATGTGTGGTTGACACAGACAGAGCTCAGATGCACTCTGGTTCAGCTGGCTGAGCAGCAGCTGGAGACACAACCTCAGTTAAAAAGAAAAGGGGAAGGGGCAGTGCCAGGTTCTTGCTCAACAACAAGGTCTACATTTACCCTTGCACTTGGCATTTACTGAGCAGCTACTATGTGTCATGTGCCAGTGACACAGAGACTAAACAGTTTTCAAATCACTCACAGTCTGGTAGGTGTTTTTTTTTTGTTTTTGTTTTTGTTTTTTTGTTAATCTGTAAGCACTCAATGTAGATATAGGTATAGAACTGGCTTGAATACTCTTTGAAAAAAGGTAGGTCTGAACAAATGCAGAAATACCTACCTTATCAGATACAAATGAGGGACCCAGGGAACTGGCCTGAGAGGTCAGAGAAGGCAGAGGTGCTGGCTCATGGGGTCCAGGGTAGAATGCAGGACTCAGGGGAGACTGGAAGAAGTGAAGGATAACTGGAACTCGAAGGAGCAAAGAACACTCCAGGGATCCAGGAAAAATGAGTTATTAAGTATCCTGAACATCTCCTGCCCTCATGGACATCAGAAAGTATGTCCATGAGGGCAGGAGATGTTCAGAGGTGAGCAGCACAGAGCATATGTGCATGCTAAGTGATGGTGTTGACTGGACAAGAGTATGTAGACGAAATGAGCAATTGTGTGAATGGGAAGAGTGAGAAATAAGACTAAGAAAAGGGGTTGGAACCAGGCTGGGGAGAACCTGGAGGACTTAAGAGATTTAATCTGTGAATAGTGGGGAGTCACTGATGGTCTTAGAACAGGGGCATGACAGAATAAGAGCTGCAGTTTCTGAGAGCAAACTGGACTAAAGGGTACAAACTGGAAGCCAGGAGGCAGAAGAGGTCAGACCTAGCCTGGGGACAGAGCTGAGAAAGCTACAGGATGAGAGGTGGGGACAGATGGGTATTGAGTTGCTCCAGAGAAAGAAGGGAGCCAATTAGCTATGGTGGTCACCAGGAGCCCAGGCATCTCAGAGCCTTTAAGCATGGGCCCTAGAGGAGAGGGTACAAACACAGAGCTAAGAGCCCTGGCTAAGAAGGAGGCTAGAGGGAATGGTGGGAGTTCTAGCTGAGTGTGATGCATTGAACTCCTGGAGGCAAGGGGACATAAGCACAAGCCCAGAGTTCACGGAAGAGATCCTAGCAGGAAACAGACCTGCTTGCCCCCACAGTTCTGTGACTGCCATAATGTCAAGATGGGATGGAAGCACTACGAGAAACATTGAGGAAGGAAACAATTGCACATGATTATCCACTGAGAAGGAGCCAGAAGAGAAGCAAAGGAGAACAGACAGACAGACATGAGATGGAACAGGGAAGGGGTGGGCTGAACTCCAGAGAAGCTTCCTTCCTCCTCTCCAACAGATAGAAAGAAACACAGACAGGAGACAGGGAGGGGAAGTGGACAGAGTGGTGACCCCATGTTTCCTCTCCTTGGGGGCCACTGCCAAGAAGCCAGGGCTACTAAGAGAGCAGGCTGGTCCCATCCCACTCAGACCCTGGCCAGGAGACCTGGGAGCAGCTTCAGGTGGAGACCCAGGCAAGGGGAAATAAGCAGCTCCCCCAGTCCACTGGTGGGTGGCTTTGGCCCTGGTTGAGCTTGAACCTGGACTGTGTGCATCACACCGTTAAGAATGAGTAGGGCCACTGCAGTTCAGATGAGTGCCAACCTCAGCTAGACTTGCCACTCAGATGGCCAGTTACCCAGTAAAGGTCTATCAGGACACAGGCCTCTACTCCTGGGGCCAGAGTTCCTGAAGTGACCATATGGAGGAGACACAGGGATGATTCTTATGCAAGGCATCAGCTCCTAACACTGCTTTCACAAAGGGACTTGTCATTATTATCAACAATGACATTCTCAGTAGATAATGACCCCATGAGCTTTTTCCCTTCAATTTTTATTCCTTCATTCCTATTTAAATGCAAAACAGTAAATTTCCTCATTCAAACCTTTCTCAGTCTTTATCTTGGTTATGTTAATATCCTCTGACTGAAATAAAATTCAACCCCCACTCTAAAGCCATGGTAATGCTTTGTAAGTATTTCTCTAAGCAAGTTCATCGTTATCATCACTCTTTCTTTTCTATTTTCATTGCCCACCATCCTGTGGAAATAGAGTTTCTCAGAACAACTACATAGAGGCTTACAAAGAGGTTCAGGCTCTTTTACACTCTGGTTTTCCACCTGGTGAGCAGTACAGTTCCTACCGGCACCTGCCTGACTCACTGAGGTACAGTCCTAGAGACAATTGAGCACAGAGGGCCACACAGTTACAGAAATGGCTTTCAATTATTTCCTAGTGAGTCAACAACCAAAGGTCTTCTGGAGCTTCTTATGACAATGACCTCTGGCTGAGCCACCTCTGGTTTTCCAGAGAGGGTCAGGCCTCACCCAAAGTTTGATGGGAGTCACTTTTGTGATGACCTGTGTTTTAAGAAGCCTTTGGAAATATACTCAAAATCTTGCTCTGGAAGTGATCACTAATTTCCACAATTACTCACTTAAAGTCAATGCCAACCCAATTACAATGTGTCTTCAACCATCCCCTAGATGGAAAATTGGGTGATAAATCCCACGCTTCTGGAGCTTTGAGGCGGTGCAGATGTTGTAGGAAGACTCTGACAACAAACTCTGATGTCAAATCAGACCACAGGGCCCACAGACACTGGATCCCAGGGATTGGTGGGTGTGAAGGCCCCCTTAGCTGCTGAATGCATCAGGGAAAAAAAGGGACTGTCCAATGCTGAGTGCACCCCAGGAGGCCCTAAGACAACTTTGCATTCAGGATCCCTGGCAGATATTTGCCCCTCATTTCTTTCTCATAGACCAGGAGCTTTCTGCCTTTGGTATTGTCATCGGTCACCTCCCTGCTTACATTTTCTTATGCGCTAAGCACTTGGTAGGAAATTTCATTTAATTTACATGAACATCCTGTGAGGCAGGCACAGGATTATCTCCATTTCACAGATGAGGAAAGTGAGGTCTAGCAGGCTCAACAATTGCCTAAGATCACCACCTCCATCTCAGATGTCATAAACGGCAGCTCCTGGCTCCTCTCACCCAGGCCGTACCCTGGACTCATCCAGGCTGGACTTCAAATATACTAAATAGCCCTTCCCCAGATCTACTAAATCAGAATTAATCCAATGCTTTGACAGATGGGAACCTGGAGTCCAGAGGTCAGAAGTGGCTGCCCAAAGTGGCACAGTGGGTCTGGATCAGATCCAGAGTTCTCATCCTAAGCACTGTTCCCCTGCTCAGTGACTGGCCCTGCCTAGAGTCTCCACGGGTGCAGTGACTGGGCCAGCTGCACGCCCCTCCCCACACAGCACTCACCTCATCACATGGATGCATTCTGGCTCCTTGGTGAAGCTGTAGGCATAGCCGCTGGATGTGGTCCCAAAGTCAATGGCTACCACCACAAGAAACGTCTGCTGTTCTGACACATTGGGGTCAGTGTCGTTCTGCAGATATACAGTGAGGCACTGGATGGGGGTGGGGGGCAAGCAGGACCTTCAGGAAGACACCCCCATCCTGCCCAGCTGAACCCTCACTGCAGACAGACGGGCACCCTCATTCCTGCTCAAGCCTGCCACATGACAGCCCTGGGGGAGAGCAGGCCACCCTCAGGCCCTTCCTAAGTGGTTCAGAGAGGTATTGAGATACCCCTGAGTTGGGGCCTGGACCACTGACAGAAGGCATTGCCTACAGTCTTCCTGCTTCCCTTCACCAACTATGCATTCACATGACTACAGAAATGAGACCATCAGGGCATCAGGGTAGAAGCCCCGTAGCTCCCTGGGTAGACACAATCTTCCCCACACTGCTCTCCCCAAATCCCTGTGTAGACCTCCCACCACTTCCCAGAGCACTCTGCCAGTTGCGCCCACCATACCCCCCAGTGCCCACTCCATCTGTGCCAGCATTTCATCCACATGCACAGCTGGGCACACTTGGGACCCTGCTGGTCCTTGGGGATCAGAGTTTTTCTTCATCTGTCAAGTCACTTCATCTGTCTAGGTTCCAAACTTCTTTTTTTAAGCAACGTAGATTAAAAAAAAATTAACTCCCATGGGATGAGGACACTACCACTGGCTCCTCGCCCACCCCCCATCCCCACCACCCCAGAGCTCCCATAGGAAATCCTCAGAGTGTGGAGTTTGAAAACCACTAGACCTGGTCACAGGTGACCAACCCTCCCAGTTTGCTCAGTACCAAGGGAGTTTCTGGGATGCAGGACTTTCAATTATGAAAGCAGCACAGCTCTGGGAAAACCAGGGCAAGTTTCCCCACCCCCAATTACCAAGTGGTAGCTCCAAAGGAAGTTCTCAGCAGGGTCTTTGTGGACCTGAGCAGTGCAAAGCTGCCCTTTCCTTGGGTGCTTTATTCCAGTTGGCTCTGTGTACCCTTTGAACAGCTCCCCACACCCTCCATCTCCCTTCTAGTGTAGGGTAGGGATGAACAACAGTCCTGCCTCCAGTCCCCTCCATACAGGTGACTCCTGCTCAGGTCTTCTCTCTGGGGCAATCTGTGGCGTGGCAATTCCCCAGCTGTGGGCTCTTGGATATGCTCCAGAGCAGGGGACACTCACCGATTCACCCACTAGAAATAGCTGCTTCCTTCCAAGAGGATGTCTATGTCTCTGGGCCCTGAGTCTCTGGATAGCTGCTCCCACCGTCTGCTCACATACCCAGGGCTGTTTCCAGGCCCAGAGCTCTGGAAGCACTGGCCACATGTCTGAAAGCCTTTGCAGGCACAGAGTGGGGAAGGGACTTGGCAGGGCTCGTGTGGCTTGAATGGAGTCAATTTAATGTCCCCCTAGTGGATGTGAGGGGCTGCCTAGAAGCCTGAAACTGGGAGAGCTGACCAAAAAGCAAACATAGTTAGGACGCACATGCACAGGTAGGTGTCTTACCACAATATGGGAAGGAGAGAGAGGTGTTATTCCTGTGTCCCCAAGACTCCGGGCTGGAGATGAATATGCAGATGTGGGGGCTGTTTCTGAAAGGAAAGAAAAAGTCCACTCCTTAGAAGTGCAAGGGCTGGCCCAGGGAACAGGAGTGAGGCCTATATGGCTTTGCTCCTCTAGGCACATGGCTTCTCAAAGCCTGCTAATGTGACAAGCCAGGCCCAAGCCCAGTCAGGAACACAGAATGTCCCTGTCTAGGCTGGCACCCTCTTGGGTTTGGTATTTAGAACCTGACCAAATAGGATGTCCCTGTCCCTTTTCTCCCAGTGACTACCAGGCCTCTCACTGTGCCACATGACCCCTCTAAGCAGGAGATGCTGCTCTGTCCCCAGAAGGCCCCAGCTCCTGGCTGGGTCCTCTAGAGAGTCAGTTCTTAGCCTGGGCTCCACTATGGACTGGCATACCCTAAGTGGGTATGCCAGTTTTCATAGTTGTTTTCTGGAAGTATCCACTGCCTGCAGGTTCCCAAGAGAGTGTGGGACACTTTCCCCAAAGGTTAACAACCCCTGCACTAGGAGATGGGACCTGAGAGAGTGTCTATGCCTGGTGAAGGCGTCACCTCCTCCCGCACTCTGGTACAAGTGCATGGTGAACTCATCTCTTCAGTGACACTGAGGGTTTTTGACATTCAATAAGAAAAATCACAGCAAAAAAAGCAGCTAGATTAGCAACTCTGCCCCTACAGGTGGGCCCCACAAAGGACACAGGTCAGACAGGGGAAGGACCAACAGCAAAGAAGCACCAGCATGGTGTTGCCATTGCCCTGAAGCTATCGCAATTCTTCATGCACAGATACAAGTTCCAGAGCCTCTGAGACCAGTAGCTCCCCCCTTAAGGGGAAAGACATAATATACTCTCTCTGGTCAGTGCCAGAATGTTTCACAGTGCTGTCTTGCCCACTACCCAGGGCAAGGACTGGCAGGGCCCCAGAACAGTTGAGCAAGAACTATGTGCTCTTTCCAGGGAGACAAAGGCCAGACACTGGGCATCTACAAGTACCAGGGGCCAAGCAGGGCTCTACATAGTCTACTCTGTTTGCTGCACAGTCTAATAGCTGGTAGAAGGCTCAGAGGTATCTGGGGAAGACATGTCTGTCTCAGGGAAGTACAAGGAGCAGCTCCATCTGCCTTGTCTACCAAATCACTTTGCCTTAATCCTGGGCCCTTATAAAAACTTTCTTCTACTTTGTGGGAACTCAAATAGCATCATTACAGTAGGTCTCACCCAAGCTAAGGGGAGAAATGAACCATGAGACAGTGAATGCCTTGAATCTGCACAGCCGCCTCCCTGCTCATGGCCTCTTCCCATGGAGACTGAGTTTCAACCTCTGCAAGACAGGTACACAACCACACAATGGCAGAGGTAAAACCTCAACCAACTAGGCCAAAGGGTTATATAGACATTTCTTGAACAGACATTTCTCAAAGAAGATATGTAAATGGTCAGTAAATTTATGAAAAGATGCTCTACCACCTTAATGGTCAGAGAAATGCAAATCAAAACTACAATAAGATATCACGTCACACCCACTAGGATGACTACAGCTAAAAACAAAAAGGAAAGGAAAAGAACAAATGTTGATTAAAAAATGTGAGGAAACTGGAACCCTTGTGCACTGCTAATAAGAATGTAAAATGGTTGGTGGTTCCTCAAAGTCAGGTATAGAATTACCACATGACCCAGCCCTACACATCTACAAAGAATTGAAGACTCAAGAGGCACTCATACGTGAATGTTAGGTACAACATTATTCAATAACCAGAAAGTAGCAACAACCAAAGTGTCCATCAACAGGGGAATGGATAAACAAAATATGGTATACCCATACAATGCAACAGTATTCAGCTATACGAAAGAATGACATTCTTATACATGTTACAACATGGATCAGCCAGAAACCATGCTAAGTGAAATAAGCTTCACACAAAAGGACAAAGACTATGTAATTCCACATGTGTGAAATATCCAGAATAGGCAAATTCCTAGAGACAGAAAGTAGATCAGAGGTTATCAGGGGCCAGCTGGAGGGATGAAAGAATGGAGAAGAGTTGTTGCTTAATGAGCACTGAGTTCCTGACTGGGGTGATGAAAAGTTTTGGAAACAGTGGTGACGGCTACACAACATTGTAAATAGAATTCATGCCACTCAATTCTGCATTTAAAAATAGCTAAAATGGTTAAGTTTTATCTTTAAAAAACTTTTATCCTTAAGAAAAAGTATTAAAAATTCCACTTGAACACCTGTGAGGGGACATTATTTCCTATTCCTATCAGCACTCCAGTGCTCTTAAGAAGAGAATGGAGAGGTGTGCTTGGTTCCTTGACCAGCCTGCTGAAATCTACCAGCTTTGCTAATCTCTCAGCACCAGGGTATCCCCTTCCACAGAAGCTGGGAAGGACCCTGCCTCTGCACTAGAGGGATCAGCCTGAGGATGCTTCCACCTGTTGGTAATGGTTTCATCTTGCCCACAGCCCCTTGGGCAGCCTTTGGAGAGTTGCCATCCACCCCAGGAGCTGCCCTCTTTCCACCTGCTAACTGGAAGGCCTGCGGCTATGTGTCCACATTTTCTCAGAAGGTCTTGGAAGAAACCAAAAGTCTAATTGCCCAGAAAACCTGGTGTTGGCAATTAGCAAACAAGCTATTACTTCCAGACAATCCATGCACCCTGCTGTTGCTTGGTTCTAATTATCCCTTCTCAGAGCATGCCTGGGTCATCCTGCTTGCAAAGTAGCATGGGCTGGACCATACACTGAACACATGCCTTAGGATCCAAGGGGATGCCAGGGTACTTTAAGGGCAAAAATCAAAGCTGTTTTGGTTCTCCCCAGACCCTCCCCTCCCCCATTGCATCTGGAGCAGTACTGAAAAAATCATTTGACTTGCTGATCACTTGCCAGAGGCAGTTGAGCTTCATGGACTCATTCCATCAGAAATTAAAATTCAGCCACATTTTATGATGATTTAAAACTGCTCTGCACAGAAGGTAAGGAGTAGCATGCATAGGTAGTTGTGTATCACATATAATTATACCTATATACCTCTATATTCCAAATCAAAGATCATTCACCAGCTAATGTCCACCAATCCAGCATAGGAAAATCCAAAACCTGTAGGGACACATTTGTTCTCTGGTGAATATTTCTGTACTTCACTTTTTAGGATACTAAGGCGGTCTTCAAAACTCTATGTTCAAGAAACTGGGGAAGCCCACCTAATTCCCTGAGGGGTAACAATGGAAACTCTCATTCTGGTGTGCTAATAGTCTTAAAAAGTCTTGAGATCTTTTATGCCCAAGATAAACAATTATGACTGAACATGAAAAGATTGATTAATCTTTGAAAATTTGACAAGTAAGAGCAAACAGAAAACAAGAGGTAGTTGTTATGTGGTTCAGGGATATGCTGTGTGCATTCCTGGCTATCAGTTATCCAGGCCATCATCCACAGGAAGAAATGCCATATGCCACTAATGTGGCCCTGTTTATGCTGTATCTGAATGCTAGCAAAATAACATCTCTCCTGGGACTACCTCCACCAGCATAAGATTCCATTTCAGCACATACAGTGTACCCACTGGGGGTGTGTGAGAAGCTAGCAGCCAAAAGCTCAACCTGAAAATAGAGTAAGCTTGGAAGAAAGGAAGCTGAAGAAAAGAAAATTGAGGCCTGACCGTGGAGGTAGGAAGACTGCTAAAAGAGAGACCAAAGGGAAATGCTTTGCCAGGAATATGGTTAAGGGCAGAGCTGAAGGATCTGGGAGTCTGGAGAAACACCTACTCCACTGTTCCAACCAGATTGCATAAAGACCACTTAAAGCATCCTGTATGTCAAGCACTAAGTTACTTTGACATCCCATAACACACAGGATGTGTCAGTTAGTTTTCTGTAGCTTGACAAAAATAAGAGCATCAACTTAAAAAGAGGAAAGTTTTATTTTGGCTCATGATTTCAGTCCATGGTCACCTGGCCTTGTTGCTTTGGGTCTCTAGCAGCACAATACATCATGCACTTGTTGGAGTGGGCCTGCTCAAATTATATGGGTCAGGAAGCAGAGAGAAAGAATCTGAGTCCTAATATCGCCTTCAAAGATACACCCCACACCCCAGTGATTTCACTTTCTCCTAGTAGGCTCTACCTCTTAAAGATTCTGTCACTTTTCAACAATGTTTGGGGGACACTTATCCAAACCATAGCTGAAAGACTGCATGATTTCATGTTGCCAAATCAGAAAAATTCTGACCATTTCAAAAATGCAAACCATTAGTCACAGAACTCTAAGCTGAGGGGGAGTGACTTTGCAGCTTTTGAGTAAACAGAAATTAATGATCAGGTCTCCTTTAGATAATTTAACATCACTTCAGTTGTGCAGAGTTAGTATGCATGTGATCTTTTTTAGTTCAGTGAATATAAAAACAAGTTGATGGGGGTGTTTATAGCTTCACTCTTCAACCTGGAACCCTTGTACTCCTAACACATTCTTCAGCCAACTCACTTTTTAAATGACTTTTGTAGTGTGGAAGGATGTATAAATAAGGGAGAATATTTTTTAGCAAGGTAGCAGACAAATAAATAAAAGTATAACTCAACCAACGAATCTCCTGCCACAGGACTTCCTGGAACCCCAAAGCAGGCAATTGAGGGGACCAGTTAGTTTCCTCCTCATTGCTTGTCTTAGTGGTATAAGAATTAAAATGTGGCCTTTATCTGGTTCCTGCTACAAAATGCAAGACACGTAAAATTCAGATCCATTTTTATTTGCTTCCAGCTCTAGTGGCTTTAATCAAAGCAGACATTCTTAAAATAAAAAATAGTCTTGCTAAAAGAACCTCAAAGAGCCATAATTCGCTTGCTGCTCTTCCCTGCTGGACACATTAGTCAGCAAATGGCTGTGAGCAGAATGGTAGGCCTTCTGAGATACATAACGTTGATCCTGCTCCCTAAATACAACAGTTTTCAAAATGAAGACAGAGCCCTGGCTGACCTTGTTCTACAGTGCTCCAGGCTCATGTGAAATGTGACAGGTGGTCTCAACA